TACGGACGTTCGTCACTATGTTTGCTTATAGCGGACGAGAAAGGATTAACATGAACAATTTATTTGATGGCACGGGTGGAACGGCTGACGGCGCACGGATACGCTACCGTGTGCAGCGCCGTTGAGTCGGACGTCGCGGCCAACCCAGCAGTCAGGGTCGCAACTCCGGAGGTCCAGGATCAGGCCACGGCTCACGAGGACCACACCCGGTAGGTCTCGCCCACGAACCTGCTCCCGGACACTGCACCCAGGCAGGAGCCGTTCTGCAGGCCCCGTCCTTGGACCTTGTACAGGCCGACGGACTCGACCTCGAACAGACACATCGGGGTTCGACCTGGCCGACACGTACGGGTCCCACGTCCGGCTCAGGAACGCTGCTAGAAACTCGTCCTCTCGAACGGCGCACCGCTTCGTCTGCCTTCGTGGCCTCGCACCTCGAGCTCTTTTTCCCACGTTCCTTCTTCTTGGCCAGGGCACCACCAGGTACCCTCGGGTGCACACTGCAGCTCATGAGCTCGCGGCCCACGTCCGAGTCTGGCGCGTCGCTCGGTACGGCTCGGCACCGTTCGGCGATCCTCGATTCAGCCAGAACTCCCCTGGCACCTGGATCCTCGGCCACCCTGAACCTCGCCCTGCTCCGTGGTCCTCCGAACACACGCCCGCATCTCGCCCGGCAGAACGTCTTGCTCGTCCCTTGCCGATGTGCGACGCTCTGGTGACACCAGCGCTTGATGGCATGGGTGCGGCTACGGAGCAGTCAACCCGCATCGGAGACGCGATGCTCCATGCGGGGAATGGCCAGCCCGTCCAGCGAACAGCTTGCGTCGAGACGCGATGCTCGGTGCAACCGTGACCATTAGCCAGGCCACGTTCATCGCTGTGCCGAACGGCTGACCGTGGAGACGCCTCGCCGAGATCGGCGATGCCCTCGGCAAGGAAGAGAACAGCAGGCCAGGCCGCGCCCCGAGATGCAGTACTCGTGCCGACAATGCCGCCCCAGCTGGTGGTTGGACGGCAGCAGTGTGGACGGCCGCGTTCCCTGGCCGGAACCTGGATTGCCTGCGTCCGACGCTTCGGCCTGCTGTCTTCCGTCTGCCGCTGCTTCGGCTCGTCCCCAGCCACAAAGCTTACTGCCACGTAATGGTAACACGTGGCCTAATCGTGGCACGCCACCTCTATGGGCCACCACAGGTCATTAGCTGATTCGCTGACACTCACGCGCACATTACACGCACCTTGCCCCGCACTTCCGTCGTCGTTTTCTTCACACATCACGCCCACAATTATGTTGCAGCGTCTGTTTCCAGCTGCGAATGTTCTTCACTTGAACAGGCCGACATGTCTGCTGAGCAACGCCAGGATCCATGAATAGCGTCTCTCTTAGAGTACCTGTCTCGGACGTCTCAACGTACAGACAATCGTTTACTTCGACGAACTGCTCGCCATTTTACTATCCGTGACGGTCTTCTTTACCGGTGAAACTACCTGATGGCCACAAATGGTTGCTGGTAATACCTCGCCACCTACGTTCCGACGTTTGTGCCTCCTTCCACGCGGATCCACAATGCGCCCACGCAGGTGTAGTGAAGACGTATGCTCCCCTACCAATTCGATATTACTGGCGCGGAATGTACCGCTTTGTTAGGCAGTACGTCCGTTCATGTTCCTTGTGCAAACGCCGGAAGAGCTCCCCTCGCACAACCACAGGGCCACTGCAGCCACTGCCTTATCCTTCTCGGCCTTTCAGCCGCATCGGAATCGACTTGTACGGTCCTCTACCATACACACCAAATGGAAACCGCTGGGTCATCGTAGCGGCGGACCACCTTACGCGCTATCCCGAAACTTTTGTGGTTCCCGAAGTCGCTGCGCGTGAAGTCGGCCTGTTCATTCTGCAGAACCTCGTCCTTCGGCATGGTGCACCCCGCGAGCTTCTCAGTGACTGTGGGCGTTCTTTCTCGTCGGAAGCTGTAGAAGCCCTCCTACGCGATTGCAACATCGTGCACCGAACAACGACCGCATACCACCACCAAACCGACGGGATGACCGAGACATTCCATCGAATGCTGGGTGACATGCTCTTCATGTATGTTTCTGATGACCATACGAACTGGGACCGCATACTGCCATTCGTTACTTACGCTTACAATAGCGCAATTCAATCGACAACTGGATTCTCCCTATTCTTCCTTCTTTATGGTCGGGAACCTTCATGGTTCTTGGACACTATCCTTCTGTACCGCCCAGACCATTCAGAATCGACAACTTAGGCCGAAGCCGCCACATATGCCGAAGAATGTCGGCAGCTAGCACGTTCGCTAACTACGCACGATCAGGCTCGCCAGAAGCACTCGCATGACCGACGCTCATCCCCTTCGTCATACGCACCTGGGAATATCGTGTGGCTCCGAGTGCCATCGTCTGCCCCAGGCCTTTGCTCAATGCTCATACCCAAGTATGACAATCCGTACCGGATCCTGCGCCAGACTTCACCAGTCAACTACATAGTTGAACCTATTCAACCATCTACAGATCAACGACGCCGCGGGCGCGAGACTGTGTACGTCGAGCGTCTAAAACCTCACTACGACCCACCAGTCCTGACTGTGCCATAGGTCGCCAGGATGGCTCCTTTCGCACTGGGGAGTCAATGTATTGACAAATAAGGGCTCTAAGAATGACGAAGAAGACGTTTGTTGTGGCGGAGGCTCGTGCTGCTGTAGCTGGTGCTGAAACCGCTGCTTGCTGTCTCGGTGCTGTTAGGCCCAACAAACGGTTGCTCTACCGCGGCGTGCGTCTAGCAGTATTCTTACATGTCGAATATTTCAAAGCATTCGACATGAACGAATAAGTGTATACAAAACCGCAAGTAATCGCTTGTAAAGATATTTTCACTGCAGAAATATGATGATAAGCCGTGAAAACATCTACTCAAGACAAATTTGCTCTGTCGCGAAGTCTCACTTCAAATTTAAAGGGGTCCTGCAACACTTTTTGAGCATGGTCAGCAAACGCTGCCAATCGCTATTCGGAGCTACTGAAAATACGCGAGCGAAATATTAGAGCGCAGCACAAAACCTTAAATGCACAATAAATCCCAATCAGATAAAAATTGCTCTCTTTTCTCTGCAAATGACGCCACAATGCCAAAAATCACTAGTCTGAGCCATCGTACCAGCCATTCGCTGATTCGAGCATGGGGTGCCCAATCCTCACTGGGGTGGCTGCGGGCGGCCGCGACACGTCCACGTCTACATACGCCGTCGCCCTGAAAAGCCGCGAATTTATATAAAAAAAGAGAAAGACTGGTCAAGGTCACGACACGCATGTAACGTATTTCCTTTCCATGTGCATGCCATCTCTCCCATCTTTGCTTCAAGCGCTTTCATCAGGACGAGAAGAGAGAATGCAATTGCAGCATGTGGCAAATCTTTGCGACTTTGCTCATGCTAGACAGGTTCACAAAATTTTTGAGGGGTTTAATTCATAAAGTAAGAAGCTTCTTTAGTGAATCTATTCCATGGCTACTTGAAAAACTGTTGTAGGGTCCCTTTTAATGAACACGCTATCCTCAAATCAATTTATCATTTTCTTAGCTTAAAAGCTTGTTTTGCCAGTTTACACACTCTAACTGAAATGAGTAATGTTACATATTTTACAGGCTATCACTTGCATCCTATTGAAAGTCAAATTTTGCTGCTTCTCAAAGTTGTTTAGACTGCTTTAGAATTGAAAACCTAAAGAAAGCTCTTGCATAGAGGCCATATTTCAAAAAAAGTATTGTGTAGGTTTAATAGGTCATGATAAATATGCCCATTTTTTTAATACATGATAGATTCTATTTGAATTGAAATTGTTCGACCAAAGTTACTATTCGCTTCGAACCTAAAATTCACTATTCGCAGAAGCCTACTCGTGAAGGCACAAAGGAATATCCGCTCTTTTCAGGTGTTGTGGAAATTTCCATTGCTCTTGTGGGCACCATCTCACCTGTCTTATTCAAAGTTTGATTTTTATGCCCAAGCAATGCAGCCACCCCACCGGAATCTATTCATTCACCTGACGAAGCTGGCCGGCACGTTCTGTCTGTCTGAGATTGCAGTTTTAACGCTTGCACACAGAGCATGCGACGCACGTGCTGAGGTTATCAATTTGAACTTGTGGAATAAACGATGAGGGCAAAATAGTTTGTGGTGATAATAAAATCATTGTTGCAATATAAATGACACCCAGAATATCTTTTTATAGATAGTGGTTTACTTAGCACAGTATTTTTGCATTTGTAGGAGATGTCTTATAAGACATTTTGAGAAACACTGAGATCAGCAATTATTTTGTACAGCTCCAAAGAAGTGTAATGTCCATTTGTGATATAATTTAGCTATGTAATACAAGAATAGGTGCATATTTAGTCACCAGAATTCTAGAAGTCACGTGGACTTTTTTTATGATAAGAAAAAAGTCCATGCAAGGGTGATTCGCAAAGATTAACGCCTTGTATGCAATGCCATCCTGCTCTCTTAGTAGCCTAGTTGGCGTTACCTGCACAGAACAAACATCATAAAACGAATGGAGGCAGGGAGCTGCACCACGAAAGTTATGCAATCATAGAGACTGGTGACCTCTTTCTTGCCAGTGTTTTCATGACCACATTTGACATCAATCTGCACTGCGAATGTTTTCTATCGTAAAGGAACTCTCGCGTGCCGTTTTGGTCATGCCGATACATGTCTTCAAAGTGTAACGTTCATTGTTTATGCATTCAAGCTTAATTAGTTTGCGAGGCAAACAAGTTGTGTGTTTCTTTGAAAGCACCTCAGAAATTGTAAGGATGTCTTTGCACAAATAAGACTCAGTTGCTTCTGCACTTCAGGCAATTTCGATACGCTTGCCAGTAGTCAATTTGTCCAAGGTGTTAGCAGTTTCTTGTTTATTATTATTATAGTTCATGTTATCGTATGCACTACACAACAAAACATGACAATAACCTTTCTCTGTAGACGTCCTGAGGATAAACTCAATGCAAAACTAGAAGATATGGATCACCAGGATGCCGACACTACTATTGACAATGGTGAGTGATGGAAGCTTTTTCATTATTATTATAGCATGGGAACATACAGCCCTTAGTTTCTCCCTGAAAAACTTAATTTCACCGCATTACTTTATTGGTTTGAAGAGGCTTGTATACACGAAATGTGTATCTATGCGGTCCTGCTTCATAGTGTTGTGGTACAATATAAGACAGTCATCATCATCAGCCTGAGTACGCGGACAAAGGCCTCTTTCATATTCTGCCAGTCAACTCCATCCTGTGCTTGCTGCTTCCACTTTACACACGCTAACTTCCTAATGTCATCTGCCCACCTAAATTTCTGTCTCCCCCTAACCCACTTGCCTTCACTGGCAAACCATGGTCAGTTACCCTTTATGACCAGCGGTTATCCTGTCTACACGCTATGCACTACAATATGTGTCATCATATCTTTTGTGTTGTCGGAAGGCATTCACTATGCCAATCTTCATCATTCTTCGGAGAAGGATGGTACTCGCTACAGACTTGTAAGGAAGTTTGTATAATTTTTTGATGCTGTGGCTGATGAAGATGAATTATGCCTGAAGCTTTTATAATGGATTTGAGCATTCCATGACCAGCTCGTTACGCAATTCGCATTCTTTGATGCCTGGTTGTTCCGTTGTTGTTCTGATAAGTATTACTCAAATTAATGTAATTGCTTTCTCGACGTTAAGCGGGTCCAAGGTCAGTTTTCAATGCAATTTCAAGCACTGATGTGGCTAAGTGGTATAATTCTGAGGTGGCATGGAGCGAACCCGGGTTGGAATCCTGTTTCTTTGATGTTTTCTATTTATTTAGTTTTATTTTATTTCGTGCAATAGTGGTTACGGACACCGGTGGACAACTACGGTTCACAACGCTTGTTGTGATATCATAACAGCTTTTTCGGTAAAACGAGCTGGTTATATCTTAGTTTGTTGTGAAGCGGTATGCCAATGACTGACAGCAACTGCACAATAAATGAAAGCTGTTAAAAGGAAGCGTACACAAAATCGAAATCAAAGCTATAAAACAGAACTTCAAACAGAGCTGGTTTTGTTTTTCATTGGGGGTATGCAACATTGTGGCTACCTGGAGCTCTGATCTCTCCTTTTTTAAGTAACGCCACGATGGTGGTACTGTGTCAAAGGAAGGCTGTAAGATATGCATTTTTTAAAGCCAAATTTTCAACCACAACATTTGCCGCCATCACCGCATCTGCAGCATCAGGTACTTCCACTGCAACGACAGCGCCAGGCACCACCACTGAGACCGCACACCAACGCAGCGCTGCAGTACCAGGCACATCCACTTCGACCACACCACCGCCCGACACCTCTGCCATGGCAGCACCAGGCACCACCACTGAAAAAACGGGTGAGACTTCAGCATTTTGTCCTCTGTTTTAAAAGAACTATCAATGTGCACTTTTGAAGGGAGCAGATTGGGCTAGCTGGTTTCATGTAGTTAATTAACGGTACAGTGATAATATAAGAAAAATAGGAAACCCTTTGATTTAGCCTTTTTATATGACAAGTCCTCCCATTTTGCTTGGCACTGTACCCCTCAATTTTTTTAAAGCATCCCAAATCTATCTTGCACACAAAAAGGTTACCTTATCAGGTTGTCAAGGTTCTGTTGACTTTGCATAACACTGAATGGCTAAACTTTCTCTAGAAACACCGTCTTATCTGCATTTACATAGAATTGCTAATAGTAGCTTTGCGCAAATAGTAAATTTCTGGTACAAAGTGACTTCGAATTTAGCGTAATTTTCATGACCTAAATATATATATATATATATTCACCCTGACTACGCCCACTGGAGGGCAAAGGTCTCTCCCTTAGTCCGCCAATCCACCCGGTCTTGTGCTTTTCGTGGTCACATTACAACTGTGAACTTTTTGATCTCATTGACCCACCTAACTTTCTCTCCCTCGTGCATTTGCCTTCCTTGGGAATCAAGACAGTTACCCTTAATATTCAGCGGTTATCCTGTCTATCTGCCTGGCCCATGTTGATTTCTTCTTATTGATTTCAACCTTGATTTCCTTAACCCTAATTTGTTCCCTGATCCAATCTGCTCTCTTGTTTGTTAAGATGAGACCTAACATTTTCTTTTCCATCACTCGCTGCATCGTACTCAATTTAACCTGAACCCTCTTTGTAAGCCTGTATGTTTCTACTTCGTAGGTAAATACTGGCAATATGCAGCTATTATAAGCCTTCCTCTTGAGGAATAGTGGCAGTCTTCCAGTCAAGATTTCAGGGTGTTTGCCAAATGTGCTCCACCCCATTCTTATTCTAACTACTTCAATCTTGTGGTTCGGCTCATCAGTTATTACCTGTCCTAAGTAGATGTAATCCTTTAAAGCTTCAATAGCATAATACCTATATCGAAGCTCTGTTTTCTTTGGATGCTGTATGTTACTTTCGTTTTCTGTAAATCAATTTTGAGACTTACCTTTGTGTTCTCCTTGTATAATCGGTAATCACGAGTTGCAATTCGTCCCCTTAGTGACTCAGTAAGCAATGACTTTGACGAAGCACTAGGTTACTAAGGTACATTTCATTAATTCTTATTCCTAGCTCTCCTCAGTCTAGGCTTCTGAAAATCTACTGTAAGCATGAGGTAAATAGCATCGCGGAGATTGTATCCCCTTGCCTTACATCTTTCTTGATTGGTATTCTGTAGCTTTTTTCATAGAGCAGTATGGTGTCAAATGATTCTCTGTAGATTTCTTCCGGGATGTCTATATATGCTTTGTTGACCCTCTGATTTCGCAGTTTCTGCCTGACTGATGATATTCAGAGAACACCGCTATAACGCAATAGCGGGGCTCTTTGCCCATACGTTTTGTACTAATTTGTATGTAGTAACAATAATTACATGCGGTATGAGTATACTTACTACAGAAATTCATTCCGCATAATTTTCATATATATGTCGTTCAACTTCATTGTAATCTAACTGATACTATAGTCATTAGGACAGCTTAAGGAAGTGTTTGCAGCATGAAAACTCGGGAAAAACAGAAGAGAGCACTTTAACGTGAAATGTGTTCTAGGATAATGCATAGATATTAAACCCTGGTATATGTCACTGGTTCCCTTAACTCCCGCCTCAATTTTTTGTATGCCTGTACTTGAATTTTCTCACATTATTATTCGCATGCTTGAAAATACGTGAACTTCAGGATTGTCCTATTGTGATCGTGTTTCTTCATCCCAACTACTTTAGTAGATCTTGAATTCTGTCATTTCTTTCAGTTGGTTATCGCCATTCTTTGTCGCAAGATGACAAACCCTTACGTTTTCTTCCAGATTGTCTTGAAACGGCAGAAAACAAAACTGACCTAGCGCTTCCAATGGCCAGCAGCAACAGCTCCAGTGACGCAGTTCCCAGTGCAAGCCCTGCAGGCAAGGCAGCTGAATCTGCGGCAAACAGCTCGATGCATGGGCAACAGTTGAAGTGTCTTGACAGCAAAGCTACCTCAGAACACCTGACCTGTTTGGCAACAGCAGAGCTGTACGTTACCAGTCACAAGTAATTGATTAGTTCTAATCAACTGCATTTTGTTGCATTATTGTAGTGTAAATATTTTTTGAAACTGAATCAATCTAGTTGATCCAATGACAAGATTTCGTAATTATTTTTGATTATCAATTACATTTTGTCAAAAGCGAGTTGTAGCAGTCTTCTGTGGCTACTCCCATCCCAATAAGTATGTGTCTGTTCTGAAGGGACTTTCCGTACACGAAGACGGGGAAGCTGCGGAAACTCTTTTAACGCAACAATGTTAAGAAAGCTTGTTTTGACGAAATCCTGTTGGCAATGCCTGCGAGCCTCTGTTGTTCAGAGTGGACAACCATTGTGTCATTGACCAATAAATTCAGAAAGATGCAATGAATAAGGAAAGTTATTGGTTCGAGACACCATCAAACACACACCATCTGCATTGATAGCTGCTTTGCATAAAAGCTTTATATGATTGTGATGTAATGCATCTCGTCTTCTTAACGCATGTAAGGTTGGTTGGCAAAAGAGAACAATCGCACGAAGCCTCAAGACATGCGAATTCCAGTGACTGGGCGTTTTAATTTTTTACACAATACAAAGTGCTAAGACATATCATCAGCTGCAAACGCATGAACAAAATGAGAAGCTGCACAGGTTCGTGTGTTGTGTAATGAATTCTTTGCTGATTCGCAAAAGGAAGAAGTATTGCTGAGAGGCTCCTAAGAACTGCACTTCAATTCATGACGAATCCCCCACAGTGGGTGTGTGCCACAGTGAATAGGTAGACAAGAACTGCACCTGCAGTGGGCATTGTACAGTAGCTCAAATTGGCCAATGTCATGGTTTAGGCATGCACTGAGAACCGAGGCTAAGCTAGCAGTTAAGAAGGCGATGCATACAGGGCACTATTGCACTATCACATTTTCTTCTTGACAGTGAATCAAAAGAGTTGACCATGTTCCTTTTTTTTTCTCACTTCTTCAACCTTAAGTATAACGCCGTACCCGAGCTCCAAGAAAAGCAAAGGGCGACTCTTTAAAGATACCACTATGTGTTTCAATATAGAATTTACTGCACTGTCGAAATTTGTAACTAAATATAACTGAGTAGGATTGAAAAAAATTGCAAGTCAGCCACAAACGTGAATCTATCAACGTGATAACAATAAAATGGAATGATATATTAAAGAAATACTATCGGCTAATGCAGTCGCCATAAGAAGTTTTTGTTTTTATGTAGTGGCCCTTTGACTCCTGTAGGATACAATTTCGAATAACCATACAAATCTCTGGCCTAGCGATTTTCGTGCTGCTCGTCCCTCTAACTTGAAGTAACTGGTGAATAGGCTTGCCCAAATATTCAAAGGAATAGTAGAATACTCAAATTTGATTCGAATTTAAATTATCGAATATTCCGAAGTATTCGACATGAACGAATAAGTGTACAGTCGCCGACCGATTTTCCGGACTCCAAAAATTCGGACTTGTTGGATATTCCGGACTTCATAAATGCACCGTCAGGGATTCCATAGGGCTATATGCATTGTTTCGACGGATTTTTCGGGCGAATTTGCCCCTGAAAGTTCGATTTTCCGGACTAAATCGCTCGTTTTGTGCCACGCTCTAAGCCATTGTGAACGCCGCCATGTTGGATTTTCTGTCGGCTTGGCTAAGCTTGGTCTTCAGATGTCTTTCCTGCCTCCGAGATCAGAATGCGCACGCCATGTTTTAAGTTTCGGAGGCCGTGTTTGCTTTTTAAAAGACGCGGTGATGGACGCCGTTTTTTCGTCTTCGGTCAGCACTATTGTCATCACATCGCACGGGGAGGAGGCGAAAGAAGGATTCTTTTATTGTCGTTGCAGCTTTTTTCAGTCGCCATTCTGCACGTGTTGTGTCGCGTAGCGTCGAGACGTTGTGTGCTTCGCAGCGGCTATCTGCGGCATCGAATTTTGTGTTCTCGGTGCCATGGCTCCGCTATCTGTGCCATCGCGGGAGCCAGGTGGTGTGAAGAAGCGTGGGAAGTATACGACCCTGACGATGGAGAAGAAAGCTGCCATAATCAAGCTAATAGAGAGTGGACGTTCGCAGCTAGATGTCGCTGGATGACGGTCGACGCCGGATGGCGGTCGTCGTTGTCGTCGGATGACAACGACGACCGCCCGCAGCCGTCGGAGATCGCCAACGCGGTGACAATTTTGTCGAGCGTTTACGGCGACGATGTCACCTTGGCGCAAATACGGGCAATCCAAATTGCCTCCAAGCGTAGTTTGAGGCAAGGCAGCATCAAGGACTTTTTTAAACCTGCCTGATGCAATAAACTTCAGATTTTTGGCGAAAACGAATTTTTCGGACTGTTCGATTTTTCGTACTTTTTTTCGGTCCCCGCCAGGTCCGAAAAATCGGTCGGCGACTGTATACTAAACCGCAAGTAATCTCCTGTAAAGATATTTTCACTGCAGAAATATGGTGCTAAGCCGTGAAAACACCTACTCAAGAAAAATTTGCTCTGACGCGAAGTCTCACTTCAAATTTAAAGGGGTCCTGCAACACTTTATGAGCATGGTCAGCAAACGCTGCCGATCGGTAGATCAGGCTACTGAGAATACGCGAGCTAAATATTAGAGCGCAGCACAAAACCTTAAATTCACAATAAATCTCAATCAGATAAAAATTGCTCTCTTTTCTCCGCAAATGACTCCACAATGACAAAAATCGCTAGTCTGAGCCATTGTACCAGCCATTCCCTGATTGGAGCATGGAGTGCCCAATCGACACTGGGGCGGCTGCGGGCGGCCGCGACACGTCCACGCGTACATACGCGGTCGCCCTGAAAAGCCGCGAATTTATAAAAAAAAAAAAAAGTGGTCAAGGTCACGACACGCATGTGACGTATTTCCTTTCCATATGCGTGACATCTCTCCCATCTTTGCTTCAAGCGCTTTCGTTGGGACAAGAAGAGAGAAGGCAATTGCATATGTGGCAAATATTTGCAACTTTGCTCATGCTGGACAGATTCACAAAATTTCTGAGGGGGTTAATTCATAAAGTAAGAAGCTTCTTTAGTGAATCTATTCCATGGCTACATGAAAAACTGTTTGGGTCCCTTTAAATGAACATACTATCCTCAAATCGATTCATCATTTTCTTATTTTAAAAGCTTGTTTTGCCAGTTTACTCACTCTAACTGAAATGAGTAATGTAACATATTTTACAGGCTATCACTTGCATCCTATTGAAAGTCGAATTTTGCTGCTTCTCAAAGCTGTTTAGACTGCTTTTGAATGGAAAACATGAAGAAAGCTCTTGCATAGAGGCCATATTTCAAAAAAAGTATTGTGCAGGTTAAATAGGTCATGATAAATATGCCCATTTTTCTTTACATGATAGATTTTATTCAAATTGAAATTGTTCGAACAAAGTTGCTATTCGCTTTGAACCTAGAATTCACTATTCGCACAAGCCTACTGGTGAAGGCACAAAGGAATGTCCGTTCTTTTCAGGTGTTGTCGAAATTGCCATTGCTCTTGTGTGAACCATCTCACCTGTCTTGTTCAAAGTTTGATTTTTATGCCCAAGCAATGCAGCCACCCCACCGGAAACTATTCATGCCCTTTCGCCTGACAAAGCTGGCCGGCACGTTCTGTCTGTCTAAGATTGCAGTTTTAATGCTTGCACACAGAGCATGGGACGCACGTGCTGAGGTTATCAATTTGGACTTGTGGAATAAACAATGAGGGCAAAATAGGCTTGTGGTGATTATAAAATCATTGTTGCAATATAAATGATGCCCAGAATATCTTTTCAAAGATAGTGGTTTACTTAGCACAGTTTTCTTGCATTTGTAGGAGATGTCTTATAAGACATTTTGAGAAACACTGAGATTAGCAATTATGTATTACAGCTCCAAAGAAGTGTAGTGTCCATTTGTGATATAATTTAGCTATGTAATACAAGAATAGGTGCATATATAGAGTCACCAGAATTTTTGAAGTCACGTGGACTTTTTTTATGATAGGAAAAAAGTCTATGCAAGGGTGATTTGCAAAAATTAACGCCTTGTATGCAAAGCCATCCTGCTATCTTAGTAGCCTAGTTGGCGTTACCTGCGCAGAACAAACATCATAAAACGAATGGAGACAGGGAGATGCACCACAAAAATTATGTAATTATAGGAACTGGTGACCTCTTTCTTGCCAGTGTTTTCATGACCACATTTGACATCAATCTGCACTGCGAACGTTTTCTATCGTAAGGGAACTCTCTCGTGCCGTTTTGGTCATGTCGATACATGTCGTCTTCAAAGTGCAACGTTTATTGTTTATGCATTCAAGCTTAATTAGTTTGCAAGGCAATCAAGCTGTGTGTTTCTTTGAAAGCACTTCAGAAAGTGTAAGGATGTCTTTGCATAAATAAGACTCAGTTGCTTCTGCACTTCAGGTAATTTGGATACGCTTGCCAGTAGTCAATTGGTCCAGGGTGTTAGCAGTTTCTTGTTTATTAGTATTATAGTTCATGTTATCGTAGGCACTACACAACAAAACATCATAATTACCTTTCTCTGTAGACGTCCTGAGGATAAACTCAATGCAAAACTAGAAGATATGAATCACCAGGACGCCGACACTACTATTGACAATGGTGAGTGATGGAAGCTTTTTTAATATTATTATAGCATGGGAACATACAGCCCTTAGTTTTTCCTTGAAGATTTTAATTTGAATGCATTACTTTATTGGTTTGAAGAGGCTTGTATACACGAAATGTGTATATGCGGTCCTGCTTCATAGTGTAGTGGTACAATATAAGACAATCATCATCATCAGCCTGAGTACGCGGACAAAGGCCTCTTTCATATTCTGCCAGTCAACTCCATCCTGTGCTTGCTGCTTCCACTTTACACACGCTAATTTCCTAATGTCATCTGCCCACCTAAATTTGTCTCCCCCTAACCCACTTGCCTTCACTGGCAAACCATGGTCAGTTACCCTTTATGACCAGCGGTTATCCTGTCTACACGCTATGCACTACAATATGAGTCGTCATATCTTTTGTGTTGTCGGAAGGCATTCACTATGCCAATCTTCGTCATTCTTCGGAGAAGGATGGTACTCGCTACAGACTTGTAAGGAAGTTTGTATAATTTTTTGATGCTGTGGCTGATGAAGATGAATTATGCCTGAAGCTTTTATAATGGATTTGAGCATTTCATGACCAGCTCATTACGCAATTCGCATTCTTTGATGCCTGGTTGTTCCGTTGTTGTTCTGATAAGTATTACTCAAATTAATGTAATTGCTTTCTCGACGTGAAGCGGGTCCAAGGTCAGTTTTCAATGCAATTTCAAGCACTGATGTGGCTAAGTGGTATAATTCTGAGCTGGCATGGAGCGAACCCGTGTTGGAATCCAGTTTCTTTGGTGTTTTCTATTTAGTTTTATTTTATTTCGTGCAATAGTGGTTACGGACACCGGTGGACAACTACGGTTCACAACACTTGTTGTGATCTCGTAACAGCTTTTTCTGTAAAATGATTTGGTTATATTTTAGTTCGTTGTGAAATGGTACGGCAATAACTGACAGCAACTGCACAATAAATGAAAGCTGATAAAATGAAGCGTACACAATATGGAAATCAAAGCTATTAAAACAGAACTTGGAACAGAGCTCGTTTTGTTTTTCATTGGGGGTATGCAACATTGTGGCTACCCGGAGCTCCAATCTCTCCTTTTTTTTAAGTAACGCCAAGATGATGGTACTGTGTCAAGGGAACGCTGTAAGATATGCATTTTTGAAAGTCAAATTTTGCAACCACAGCATCACCCACCATCACTGCCACTGTTGCATCGGCTACTTCCACTACAATGGGAGCGCCAGGCACCACCACCGCAGTACCAGGCACGTCCAATTCCACCACACCACCACCCGATACCTCTGCCATGGCAGCACCGGGCACCGCCATTGACAAAACTGGTGAGATTTCAGCATTTTGTCGGTTTTAAGGACTATCGATGTGCACTTTTGAAGGGGAGCAGATTGGGCTAGCTGGTTTTATGTAGTCACTAAATGGTACAGTGATAATATAAGAGAAATAGGAAACCCTTTGATTTAGCCTTTTTATATGACAAGTCCTCCCATTTTGCTGTACACAGTAGTCCTCAATTTTTTTAAGCAACCGTATCTGTCTTGCCCACAAAAGGGTTACCTTTGCAGGTTGCCAAGGTTCTGTTGACTTTACATACCACTGGATGGCTAATGGCTAAACTTTCTCTAGAAACTCCAAGCCCATCTAAAAACAGTCTAATCGGCATTTACTTAGCATTGCTGATAGCATTGGGCGAATAGCGAATTTTGGGTACAAAGTGAATTGAAATGCGAATGGAACTTAATACATGTTAACAAGCTAATTTAGCATATTTATATTTACCCACTGCAGGGCAAAGCCCTCTCCTTTAGTCTGCCAATCCACCCGGTCTTGTGCTTGTGCTTTCCGTGGTCAAATTAAAACTGCGAACTTTTTGATCTCATTGACCCACCTAACTTTGTGTCTCCCCCTCGTGCATTTGCCTTCTCCGGGTATCGATACAGTTACCTTAAATATCAGCGGTTATCCTGTGTATGTGCCCGGCCCATGTCCATTTCTTCTTATTGATTTCAACCTTGATATCCTTAACCCTGGTTTGTTCCCTGATCCAATCTGCTCTCTTGTTGTTTCTTAAGGTGAGACCTAACATTTTCTTTTCCATCACTCGCTGCATTGTCCTCAATTTAAGCTGAACCCCCTTTGTAAGCCTCTATGTTTCTACTTCGTAGGTAAATACTGGCAAGATGCAGCTATTATATGCCTTACTCTTGAGGAATAGTGGCAGTCTTCCAGTCATGATTTCAGAGTGTTTGCCAAATGTGCTCCACCCCATTCTTATTCTAACTACTTCAATCTTGTGGTTCGGCTCATCAGTTATTACCTGTCCTAAGTAGATGTAATCCTTTAAAGCTTCAATAGCATAATACCTATATCGAAGCTCTGTTTTCTTTGGATGCTGTATGTTACTTTCGTTTTCTGTAAATCAATTTTGAGACTTACCTTTGTGTTCTCCTTGTATAATCGGTAATCACGAGTTGCAATTCGTCCCCTGAGTGACTCAGTAATGCAATGACTTTGACGAAGCACTAGGTTACTAAGGTACATTTCATTAATTCTTATTTCTAGCTCTCCCCAGTCTAGGCCTCTGAAAATCTTCTGTAAGGATGTGGTAAATAGCATCGGGGAGATTGTATCCCCTTCTCTTACATCTTTCTTGATTGGTGTTCTGTAGCTTTTTTCATAGAGCAGTATGGTGTCAAATGATCCTCTGTAGATTCCTTCGGGGATGTCTATATATGCTTTGTTTACCCCCTGATTCCGCAGTTTCTGCCTGACTGATGATATTTAGAGAACACCGCTATAACGCAATAGCGAACTCTCTTTGCCCATACGTCTTGTACTAATAATTTGTATGTAGTAACAATAAATACATACGGTATAAGTACAATTATTACAGAAATTCATTCCGCATAATTTTCATATATATGTCGTACACTTTTATTGTAATCTGACTGATACTATAGTCATTAGGACAGCTCAAAGAAGTGTTTGCAACATGAAAACATGGGAAAAACAGAAGAGATCACTTTAACGTGAAATGTGTTCTAGCAATATGCATATATACTAAACCCTGGTATATGTCACTGGCTGCCTCAACTCCTGCCTCAATTTTTTGTATGCCTGTACTTGCATTTTCTTTATTATTATTCGCATGCTTGTAAATACGTTAACGATGGTCCTAATGTGATCGTGTTTCTTCATCCCAACTAATCCTGTAGAAGATCTTGAATTCTGTCATTTCTTTAGTCGGTTATCGCCATTCATTGTCGCAAGATGACAAACCCTTGAGTTTTCTTCCAGATTGCCTTGAAACGGCAGAAAACAAAACCGGCCTGGCGCTTCCAATGGCTAGCAGTGACAACTCCAGTGACGCAGTTCCCAGTGCAAGCCCTGCAGACAAGGCAGCTGAATCTGCGTCAAACAGCTCGATGCATGGGCAACAGTTGAAGTGTCTTGACAGCAAAGCTACCTCAGAACACCTGACCTGTTCCGCAACAGCAGAGCTGTACGTTACCAGTCACAAGTAATCGATTAGTTCTGATCAACTGCATTTTTTGTATTATTGTAATGTAATTATTTTTTCGAAACTGAATCAATCTAGTTGATCCAATGACAAGATTTCGTAATTATTTTTGATTATCAATTACATTTTGTCAAAAGCGAGTTGTACCAGTCTTCTGTGGCTACTCCCATCCCAATAAGTATGTGCCTGTTCTGAAGAGACCCTCCATACTCGGAGACAGGGAAGCTACGGAAACTATTTTAACGCAGCAATGTTAAGAAAGCTTGCTTCGGCGAAATCCTGGTGGCAATGTCTGCACTGTAGAGATTTGGGCTTGTTGGTGCATTGTGACGACCGAAAATAACGCAAAGAAACGGGGACACAAGACGAGGACACACTGCACAGGCGCTGTGTGTCCCTGTGCACCTGTGCCGTGTGTCCTCGTCTTGTGTCCCCGTTTCTTTGCGCTATTTTCGGTCGTGGCAATGTCTGCGTGCCTCTGTTGTTCAGAGCGGACAATCATTGTGTCATTCACCAATAAATTCAGAAAGATGCAATGAATAAGGAAAGTTATTGGTTCGAGACACCATCAAACACACACCATCTGCGTTGATAGCTGCTTTGCATAAAAGCTTTATATGATTGTGATGTAATGCATCTCGTCTTCTTAACGCATGCAAGGTTGGTTGGCAGAAGAGAACAATCGCACAAAGCCTCAAGACATCCGACTTCGAGTGACTGGGCGTTTTAATTTCCTACACAATACAAAGTGCTAAGACATATCATCAGCTGCAGAGCATGAACAAAAGGAGCAGCTGCACAGGTTCGTGTGTTGTGTAATGAATTCTTTGCCGAGAGGCTCCTAAGAACTGCACTTCAATTCATGACGAATCCCCCACAGTGGGTGTGTGCCACAGTGAATAGGTAGACAAGAACTGCACCTGCAGTGGGCATTGTACAGTAGCTCGAAACTGCCAATGTCACGGTTTAGGCATGCACTGAGAACGGAGGCTAGGCTAGCAGTTAAGAAGGCGATGCATACAGGGCACTATTGCACCATTACATTTTCCTCTTGACTGTGAATCAAGAGAGTTGACTATATTCTTTTTTTTTTTTTCTCACGTCTTCAACCTTAACTATAACGCCGTACCCGAGCTCCAAGGAAAGCAAAGGGCGACTCTTTAAAAAGATACCACTATGTGTTTCAATATAGAATTTACTGCACTGTCGTAATTTGTAACTAAATATAACCGAGTAGGATTGAAAAAAATTGCAAGTCAGCCACAAGGGTGAATTTATGAACGTGATAACAATAAAATGGAATGTTATATTAAAGAAATACTATCGGCTAATACAGTCGCCATAAGTTTTTGTTTTTATGTAGTGACCCTTTGACTCCTGTCGGATACGATTTCAAATAACCATACAAACCTCTGGCGTAGCGATTTTCGTGATGTAACTGGTGAATAGGCTTGCGCAAATATTCGAACGAATAGTACAATACTCAAATTAGATTCGAATTTAAAATATTGAATATTTCGAAGTATTCGACATGAACGAATAAGTGTATACTAAACCGCAAGTAATCGCCTGTAAAGATATTTTCACTGCAAAAATATGGTGCTAAGCTGTGAAAACACCTACTCAAGAAAAATTTGCCCTGTCGCAAAGTCTCTCGTCAAATTTAAAGGGGTCCTGCAACACTTTATGAGCATGGTCAGCAAACACAGCCGATCGGTATATCAGGCTACTGAGAATACGCGAGCTAAATATTAGAGCGCAGCACAAAACCTTAAATTCACAATAAATCTCAATCAGGTAAAAATTGCTCTCTTTTCTCCGGAAATGACGCCACAATGTAAAAAATCGCTAGTCTGAGCCATTGTACCAGCCATTCGCTGATTGGAGCAGGGAGTGCCCAATCGACATTGGGGCGGCTGCGGGCGGCCGCGACACGTTCACGCGTACATACGCGGTCGCCCTGAAAAGCCGCGAATTTATATAAAGAAAAAGAAAGAGAGTGCTCAAGGTCACGACACGCATGTGACGTATTTCCTTTCCATATGCATGCCATCTCTCCCATCTTTGCTTCAAGCACTTTCGTTGGGACAAAAAGAGAGAATGCAATTGCAGCATGTGGCAAATCTTTGCGACTTTGCTCATGCTGGACAGATTCACAAAATTTCTGAGGGGGTTAATTCATAAAGTAAGAAGCTTCTTTAGTGAATCTATTCTATGGCTACTTGAAAAACTTGTAGGGTCCCTTTAAATGAACATGCTATCCTCAAATCGATTTATCATTTTCTTATTTTAAAAGCTTGTTTTGCCAGTTTACACACTCTAACTGAAATGAGTAATGTAACATATTTTACAGGCTATCACTTGCATCCTATTGAAAGTCAAAATTTGCTGCTTCTCAAAGCTGTTTAGACTGCTTTTGAATGGAAAACATGAAGAAAGCTCTTGCATAGAGGCCACATTTCAAAAAAAGTATTGTGCAGGTTAAATAGCTTATGATAAATATGCCAATTTTTTTATACATGATAGATTCTATTCGAATTGAAATTGTTCGATCAAAGTTACTATTCGCTTCGAACCTAAAATTCACTATTCGCAGAAGCCTACTCGTGAAGGCACAAAGAAATATCCGCTCTTTTCAGGTGTTGTGGAAATTGCCATTGCTCTTGTGTGCACCATCTCACCTGTCTTGTTCAAAGTTTGATTTTTATGCCCAAGCAATGCAGCCACCCCACTGAAAACTATTCATGCCTTTTCGCCTGACGGAGCTGGCCGGCACGTTCTGTCTGTCTGAGATTGCAGTTTTAACGCTTGCACACAGAGCATGCGTCGCACGTGCTGAGGTTATCAATTTGGACTTGTGGAATAAACGTCGAGGGCAAAATAGGCTTGTGGTGATTATAAAGTTGTTGTTGCAATATAAATGACACCCAGAATATCTTTTTATAGACAGTGGTTTACTTGGCACAGTATTTTTGCATTCGTAGGAGATGTCTTATGAGACATTTTGAGAAACACTGAGATCAGCAATTATGTATTACAGCTCCAAAGAAGTGTAATGGCCATATGTGTTATAATTTAGGTATGTAATACAAAAATAGGTGTATATTTATAGTCACTAGAATTTTTGAAATCGCGTGGACTTTTTTTATGATATAAAAAAAGTCCTTGCAAGGGTTATTCGCAAAGATTAACGCCTTGTATGCAATGCCATCCTGCTATTTTAGTAGCCTAGTTGGCGTTACCTGCACAGAACAAACATCATAAAATGAATGGAGACAGAGAGCTGCACCATGAAAGTTATGCAATCAGAGGAACTGGTGACCTCTTTCTTCCCACTGTTTTCATGACCACATTTGACATCAATCTGCACTGCGAATGTTTTCTATCGTAAGTGAACTCTCGCGTGTCGTTTTGGTCATGTCAATACATGTCGTCTTCAAAGTGCAACGTTTATTGTTTATGCATTCATGCTTAATTAGTTTGCAAGGCAAACAAGTTGTGTGTTTCTTTGAAAGCACTTCAAAACGTGTAAGGATGTCTTTGCACAAATAAGGCTCAATTGCTTCTGCACTTCAGGCAATTTGGATACGCTTGCCAGTAGTCAATTTGTCCAGGGTGTTAGCAGTTTCTTGTTTATTATCATTATAGTTCATATTATTGTAGGCACAACACAACAAAACATGATAATTGCCTTTCTCTGTAGACGCCCTGAGGATAAACTCAATGCAAAACTAGAAGATATGAATCACCAGGACGCCGACACTACTATTGACGATGGTGAGTGATGGAAGCTTCTTCATTATTATTATAGCATGCGAACATACAGCCCTCAGTTTTTCCCTGAAGAACTTAATTTTACCACATTACTTTATTGGTTTGAAGAGGCTTGTATACACGAAATGTGTATATGCGGTCCTGCTTCATAGTGTAGTGGTACAATATAAGACAATCATCATCATCAGCCTGAGTACGTGGACAGAGGCCTCTTTCATATTCTGCCAGTCAACTCCATCCTGTGCTTGCTGCTTCCACTTTACACACGCTAATTTCCTAATGTCATCTGCCCACCTAAATTTTTGTCTCCCCCTAACCCACTTGCCTTCTTTCTGACCGACTGGACTTGCTCTACGCTATCTACTGATGCCGACAAGAGCTCTCGCAAGTGTGCCCCGTCCTCGGACTCCAGTGACCGTACTTTCATCTTTCCTATCTCACCTATCCCCTCAGTTTGTTGTCCCTTCTTCTGGCTTACCACCTCACGTCTCTTCCTCTTTTCTACACCTTTACTCCTACCCCTTTTTATCGCTCCTCACCCCCATCCCTTGTGAGCTACTGTCGAGGTGTCGCTCACTGAAGCAGACAGTTACGGGGCTCACTTTTCTATTCCTTTCGCTCTTAAGAATCGCCCTGGCATACCATGGTCAGTTACCCTTTATGACCAGCGGCCTGCCTACACACTATGCACTACACAATGAATCATGATATTGTAACAGACTAGAAAAGGGTAGAGAGGAGAAGCAGAGGAAGACGAAGAGTCTTGGCACGATCGCAGTGTGCTGCCGCAAACGACCATCGTTCACCTCCTGTAAATAAAACCATCTTATCACAGCTCGCTGTTACAGTTATGGTGGACGTGCTGGGTAATCGACACCCGAAGACGGAAGGCGAACCGCAAGTTCTTCGACGGAGCCGTCGCATTGCTGGACTTCCACCGAATCCATCTGGGCTGGACATGTCCCACAACGCAAATGAACACCGACCCCTCTCGACTCCTGCGCCGACCAGTTCGACTCCACAACTGAGAGATGCTCGTCCCTTCGCCGGCAGACCAGATGAAGACGTCGAGGCTTGGCTCATCCATTACAAACGGGTGAGCGCCGCTAACAAATGGGATGCCGCTTCTCAGCTTTTGTACGTCGTGTTCTTTCTGACCGATACTGCATTAATGTGGTACGAGAATCGGGAGGAAACGCTAACGACGTGGGACAGATTTGTTTCTGAAATCAAAGAGCGTTTCGGCGACCCAACAACGATAAAAAAAAGAGCAGAACAGACGCTAATGCAACGCGCTCAAGTGCCAGGTGAAACTTGCACGACCTACATTGAGGAAGTCATAAAGCTATGTAGGACCATTGACTCCGGAATGTCTGAGGAAGACAAAGTCGGGCACATTCTAAAAGGAATCGCCGAGGATGTTTACAGTTTCCTCATCGCGAAAGACACCTTGACATCTGTCACCGATGTCATTCGTCATTGCCGCAATTTTGAGCAACTAAAGACGAGGCGCATCACGCCAAAGTTCGGCAGGCTGCCCAATATGACGACCATCGCGAGCATAGACAGCAACCAGGCACTTGATCTTGCAACAACAATCCGGCAGATCGTACGTGAAGAACTCGGCCTGTACGCGCAAGTGGCAAACCGCCCAAGCACTCATCCTCCCTATCAGCCACCAGAGTTCGAGCGAAACGTTGCTTCATTCTCCTCGCACCGAGTGGCGGAGGGCTTTGAGGATTCTGATGCCACACCTCTGTATCAGCCACGTCTATACGATAGAAGCCCTGCCTATGACGCACGATCACGACGAGCACAGCCACATTATTATACTCAGGGTTCTCAGCCGGACTACGTCCCGCTGCGGCAAGGACAGTACCAACCCTACTACCAAGATGTGACTTACGACGAATACGATGAATTCCAGAGAGTGGCAGAAACCCGTTCTTTGCGTGATAACGAACTTCCTCACCGAGAGCAGCGGCCCAGGATTCGTTCCATTCAAGATAGTATAAACCGTGACCCTCCCGTGTGCTACAACTGTGGTTTCACTGGGCATATTGCTCGGTATTGCCGCCAACAACGGCGCCAATCACGAAGGACACCAGCCATGTCTTCGCCACCAAGACCCGGTGCTTCATGACCAGCGGACAACCGACTTGTTTCCAAGGGACCGTTTTTTGCGCGAGACCAGACTCAATGATTCGCCAGCATCCGAGCGGAGTTTGACACCACCATCCAACCGTTCTCGTCGCTCGCCGTCTCCTCTGTGTCGTTCTTCTCCGCCGCCGGGAAACTAGCATCCGCGGCCAATGGAGGTGAGGTCGCCGGACGGTCTTTTCAAGATATACCTCTGCCTATTGTTATGATCAAAAACAAAGTGAATTTGTTTATTGATGGAATACCAACGATGGCGTTAGTTGACACTGGGGCGACTGTGTCTGTAATGAGCCTCGCCTTCAGAAACCGCTTAGGTCGCAAAGTTATGTTTTCATGGGACGATACAATCACCTTTCGTGGTGTAGGCGGCTAGTGGCTTAATCCTCTTGGTGTATGTGCTGTCAGTGTTTCATTGGCTGGAAAAGTATTTGTATCGGAATTTCTGGTTTTATCTCGTTGTTCGCACGATGTCATTCTTGGTATCGATTTCCTGGAACAATGCGGTGCTTCCGTTGACTGTGGTAGTGGGGAAATATCACTAAACAATTTGTTTCCATCGTCGCTTTCCGAAGAAGACTACCGTGGCGAAGACAGGAACACACTTAGTGTGATTGATGAAGTGATAGCACCATCTTGGTGCCTGACACCCGTTCAAGTCTCTTCCACAGCGGTTGATGATGCTTGTGTTGACCTCGTAGTGGGGCCTCTGCGCAAGAATTGTTTGAAGAAGGACATACTTGTGCCTTGTTCTGTTGTGTGCATGACGAAAGGAGTAGCAACATTGTGGGCGCTGAACTGTTCTGCCACGCCGGTTGTGCTTCCTCGCGGGATGAAGATAGCTCTCTTTGATGAAGCCTCATGCAACTCGATAGCAGCAATAGCTACGGACCTCCCCACCTCTTCCTCTGCTTGTGATATTCGCCATAATGAAGATCTAATGCTCGCTATGATCAGCAAGACTCTCAGTACGACGGAACGGCAAGCGCTGGTGCAGGTCCTTTCCCGGCATGTTGCTGCTTTCGACTTCAAACATAGAGATGCACCCCTTCAGTTACCCTCGTTCCGCACTCGTCACAGAATAGACACTGGCTCTGCACACCCCATCCGCCAAAAGCCCTACCGAGTGTCATCCTCTGAGCGCAAAGTTATCGCCGAACAAGTAAAGGACATGCTGAACAAAGGGGTCGTGCAAGAGTCGTCCAGCCCGTGGGCAGCCCCGGTAATTCTTGTCAGGAAAAAGGATGGTTCCTGGAGATTCTGCGTAAACTACAGGCGTCTAAACACTGTGACGAAGAAAGATGTATATCCCTTACCACGGATTGATGACGTCATAGATTGCTTGCATGCCGCTTCCTATTTTTCAACGCTTGATTTGCGGTCAGGTTATTGGCAAATACCTATGGAACCCGGCGACAAAGAAAAGACTGCTTTCATAACTCCGGATGGCTTATTTGAATTTAATGTCATGCCTTTTGGCCTTTGTAATGCTCCAGCCACCTTTGAAAGATTTATGGACACAGTATTACGTGGTCTAAAATGGGAGATATGCATGTGCTAGCTTGACGATGTTGTGATCTTTGGCCGTACGTTTGAGGAACATAACAACCGTCTCAGTCTTGTTCTCGACTGCATCGAAAAAGCCGGGCTGGTTCTGAATTCTAAAAAATGTCGCTTTGGCGAACGTCAAACTCTCGTGCTGGGGCACTTGGTCGACAAGGATGGCGTCAGACCCGATCCTCGCAAGATAGAAGCAGTGAGCTCTTTTAAATCACCGCAGTCCACACGAGAACTTCGCTCATTTGTCGGCCTATGCTCATATTTTCGTCGTTTTGTTCCACGATTTGCGGAGATCGTGTATCCGCTGACAAACGTCTTGCGACAGGATGCAACCTTCAACTGGACACCAGAGTGTGACACCGCATTCTCACAACTTAAGTTTGTACTAACGTCAGCACCACTGTTGCATCACTTCGATCCATCTTGCCCGACTGAGGTCCACACGGACGCTAGTGGTATCGGTGTAGGCGCGGTGCTTGTACAATTTCACAATGGCGCAGAGCATGTCGTGGCATATGCCAGCCGTTGCCTGAGCAAATCAGAACGCAATTACACAGTTACGGAACAGGAATGTCTGGCAGCTGTTTTCGCTGTACAGAAGTTTCGTTGTTATCTTTACGGGAGGCCATTTAAGATAATTACCGATCACCATTCGTTATGCTGGCTGGTCGGTTTGCGTGACCCCTCTGACCGCCTCGCACATTGGGCGCTGCGACTTCAGGAATACGACTTTACGGTGTCGTACAAGAGTGGCCGTCGTCACGCTGACGCAGACTGCCTCTCCCGGATTCCTCTTGCGACTACTGACTGCGATGCTGAGAATTTTGACGACTGCCTTGCTGCTGTTACAAGCACGTTCCCCAACGCAGCTGATTTCCAGAGAGAACAACGCAACGATCTCAACTTGGATCCTCTTTTTGCCGCCGCACGTGCCTCCCAACACAGCGGTCGCTTTACGGTCCGAGACAAGTTGCTCTATAAAACTAACTACTCTAGACCTGGAGCACGTTTTCTTCTAGTTGCCCCCGAGAGCCTTCGCTCCGAAGTTCTACGTGCCATGCATGACGATGCGACGTACGGTCACTTCGGCTTTATTAGAACGCTGAACCGCACGCAGGAACGCTTTTACTGGCCCAAGATGTACGAAACAACGAAGCGTTACGTCGCTAGCTGCGAGACGTGCCAACGTCACAAGCGCCCGGCCACCGCTACACCAGGTCCCCTTCAGCCATTACCACGCAGCGCACCTTTTGAACAAGTAGGAATTGACATTATGGGTCCATTTCCGTTATCCAACAATAAGAAGCGTTGGATAATCGTCTGCGTCGATCATCTTACGCGGTATGCCGAAACCGCAGCTATTCCCTCTTCTACCGCGGCATCCGTGGCGGACTTCTTGCTTCACTCCGTGGTCCTTCGCCATGGCCCACCGGGTGTTATTATCAGCGACCGTGGCCGCCAGTTCACTGCCGATGCCGTTGAAGAATTACTACGCATGTGCACGACACAGTTCCGTCATTCCACACCGTATCACCCACAGACAAATGGCCTCGTTGAACGGACAAACAGAACGCTGACCAACATGCTTGCCATGTACGTTTCTTCCAATCATAAGAATTGGGATGAAGTGCTGCCTTTTATCACGTACGCGTACAACACGGCAAAACATGAAACAACGAACTTCAGCCCATTTTATCTGTTGTACGCAAGGTTGCCACTAAGCCCTCTAGACACTTTCTTACCCTTCATTCTACACAATGACGACTCTGTATCAAACACCCTGTGCCTCGCGGAAGAAGCCCGTCGAATCGCTCGTCTTCGTACTCTGTCCTCTCAACGTCGTTCGAAGGAACGATATGACGACCGTCACGAACCGGTTTTATTCGAAAAAGGTGACTTGGTGTTAATTTGGACTCCGCAACGCAAGCGTGGATTGTGTCATAAGCTTCTGTCACGATATTCAGGCCCATTTGTAGTTTTGGAGCGTCTAAGCCAGCTCACTTACGTAATAGCTCGTCTTTTGTCCAATGGTCGACGATCGACCAGAACGCAGCTCACTCACGTGGCTCGCCTGAAACCTTTCCACCCTCCTTGCGCATCATAACTCGCCCTACGGGCTTCGTCTGCTTGCGGAGGAATGTAACAGACTAGAAAAGGGTAGAGAGGAGAAACAGAGGAAGACGAAGAGTCTTGGCACGATCGCAGTGTGCTGCCGCAAACGACCATCGTTCACCTCCTGTAAATAAAACCATCTTATCACAGCTCGCTGTTACAATATCTTTTATGTTGTCGAAAGTCATTCACTATGCCAATCTTTGTCATTCTTCGGAGAAGCATGGTACTCGCTACAGACTTGCAAGGAAGTTTGTATAATTTTTTTATGCTGTGGCTGACGAAGATGAATTATGCCTGAAGCTTTTATAATGGATCTGAGCATTCGAGGGCCAGCTCGTTACTCACTTCGCATTCTTTGATGCCTGGTTGTTTCGTTGTTGTTCTGATAAGTTTATTACTCAAATTAACGTAATTGCTTTCTCCACGTGAAGCCCGTCCAAAGACAGTTTTTAGTGCAATTTCAAGCACTGATGTGGCTAAGTGGTATATTTTTGAACTGGCATGCAGCGAACCCTGGTTGGAATCAAGTTTTTTTGGTGTTTTCTATTTATTTAGTTTTATTTTATTTCGTGCAATAGTGGTTACGGACACCGGCAGACAACTACGGCTCACAACACTTGTTGTGATATCATAACAGCTTTTTCTGTAAAACGAGCTGGTTATATCTTAGTTTGTTGTGAAACGGTACGCCAATGACTGGCAGCAACTGCACAATAAATGAAAGCTGATAAAATGAAGCAAACACAAAATCAAAATCGGAGCTATTAAAACAGAACTTCGAACAGAGCAGGTTTTGTTTTTCATTGGGGGTACGCAACATTGTGGCTTTCCGGAGCTGCGATCTATCCTTTTTTAAGTAACACCAAGATGGTGGTACTGTGTGAAGGGAAGGCTGTAAGATATGCATTTTTTAAAGCCAAATTTTGCAACTACAGCATTAGCCACCATTACTGCCACTGTAGCATCAGCTTCTTCCACTGCAACGACAGCGCCAGGCACCACCACTGAGACCGCACACCAACCCAGCGCCGCAGTAGCAGGCACGTCCACTTCTACCACACCAACACCCGACACCTCTGCCACGGCAGCACCAGGCGCCGCCACTGAAAAAACGGGTGAGACTTCAGCATTTTGTCTTCTGTTTTAAAAGAACTATCAATGGGCACTTTTGAAGGGGAGCAGATTGGGCTAGCTGGTTTCATGTAGTTAATTAATGGTACAGTGATAATATAAGAGTAATAGGAAACCCTTTGATTTAGCCTTTTTATATTACCTGTCCTAAGTAGATGTAATCTTTTAAAACTTCAATAGCACTAATACCTACTTCGGAGCTCTGTTTTCTTTGGATGTTGTATGTTACTTTCATTTTCTGCAGATCAATTTTGAGACTTAGCTTTGTGTTCTCCTTGTATAATCAGTAATCACAAGTTGCAATTCATCCCCTGAGTGACTCAGCAATGCAATGACATTGACGAAGCATTAGGTTACTCAGGTACACTCCAATAGTTCTTATCGCTAGCTCTCCCCAGTCTAGGCCTGGGAAAATTTCCTGTAAGCATATGGTAAATAGCATCGAAGAGACCGTATCTCCTTGCCTTACATCTTTTTTGATTGGTATTCTGCAGCTTTCTTCATAGGAGAGCATGGTGGCAAATGATCCTTTGTTGATTTCTTCTTGGATGTCTACATATTCTTTGTTGACGCCCTGATTCCGCAGTTTCTGCCTGACTGATGATATTCAAAGAACACCGCGATAAGACAATAGCGGGGCTCTCTCTGCCGATACGTACTGTACTAATCTGTGTGTAGTAACAATAATTACATACAGTATAATTAATACAGAAATTCATTCCACATATTTTTTCATATATATGTCGTACACTTTTATTGTAATCTGACAGATACTATAGTCATTGGGACAGCTTAAGGAAGTTTTGCAACATGAAAACATGGGAAAAACAGAAGAGAGCACTTTAACGTGAAATGTGTTCTAGGAATATGCAAAGATACTAAACCCTGGTATATGTCACTGGCTCCCTTCACTCCCGCCTCAACTTTTTGTATGCCTGTACTTGCATTTTCTCACATTATTATTCGCATGCTTTGAAAATGCGTAATCTTTTGGATTGTCCTATTGTGATCGTGTTTCTTCATTCCTAATACTTCTGTAGAAGATCTTGAATTGTCATTTCTTTACAGTCTGTCATCGCCATTAATTGTCGCAAGATGACAAACCCTTACGTTTTCTTCCAGATCGTTTTGAGACTGCCGAAAACAAAACCGACCTGGCGCTTCCAATGGCCAGGTGCGGCAGCTCCAGTGATACAGTTCCCAGTACAAGCCGTGCGGACAGCGAAGCTGCTTCAGAACACCCGACCTGTTCTGCACCAGCGGAGTTGTACATTACGAGTCACAAGTAATCGATTAGTTCTAATCAACTGCAGTTTCTTGTAGTATTGTAATATAATTGATTATTTTTCTGAAACAGAGACATTCTGGGTAATCCAATGACAAGATTTCGTAATTATTTTCGATTATCAATTACATTTCATCAGAAGCGGGTTGTACTAGTCTTCTGTGGCGCTTCCCATCCCAATAAGTATGTGACTGTTCTCAAGAGACCTTCCATACACGGAGACGGGGCAGCTACGGAACCTATTTTAACGCACCAATGTTAAGAAAGCTTGTTTCGGCAAAATCCTGGTGGCAATGTCTGCGTGCCTGTGTTGTTGAGAGCGAACAATCATTGTGTCATTGACCAAAAAATTCAAAAAGATGCAAAGAATAAGGAAAGTTATTGGTTCAAGACACCATGGAACACACACCATCTGCGTTGAAAGCAGGTGCCCTCTGTCACAGAGTCTCAGTATTGCTGTGAACTGCTTTGGACAAAAGCACTATATGAATGTGATGTAATGGATCGCGGCTTCTCAACGCATGCAAGGTTGGTTGGCAGAAGAGAATAATCGAATTAAGCCTGAAAACATGCGAATTCCAGTGAGTGGGTGTTTTGATTTCGTACGCAATACAAAGTGCTAAGACATATCATCAGCTGCAAAGGCAAGAACAAAAGGAGCAGCTGTTCGGGTTCGTGTGTTTTGTTATGAACGCGCAATGAATCCTTCGCCGATTCACAAAAGGAAGAAGTATGGCATAGAGGCACCTAAGTACAGCACTTCAATTCTTATCCAATCCCCCACAGTAGGTGTGCACCACAATTGATAGGTAAACTGGATGGTTGCACCTGCAGCAGGCATTGTCTAGTAGCTTGAGACGGCCAGTGTCACCCTTACGGCACGGTTTAGGCATGCACCGCGAACTGAAGCTATGCTAACAGTTAAGAAGGCAACACATACAAGGCACGATTGCACAATCACGTTCTACTCTTGACTGCAAATCCCAAGAGTTGTCCAAGTTTTTTTTTTTTTTTCTTGTGTCTCAATTTTCCTTCTGCTTTAACCTACAATGCCGTATACTAGTGCTTTGAGAAAAGCAAAAAGTGACGCTCGACAGATGACATGGACCGAAACAGTGAAGCAATGTGCAACTATAGGCTGGTGCACGATTGTTGCTGTGTTATAACACAACGCATACTCAAGCGCGCTCATTGGGGGAGTGGTGGCAGTTGTGGCAGTTTACGTCTCACCAGCAGCTGACCCCTTACTGACGAAACGGGGAAGTATCGGCGACAACTACTTTGGAAACAGCCCCAGTTGAAAGCTAACAACATACAACACTGTCACAGAAGTAAGAGTAAATCTTCGAGCTTTCGATTTGCTTTGGAAATCGCGGTCAGTTGGAGTAAACTTGAATTATGGTGTTAGGCCAATAAAATTTTTTAGAAATATAATCGATAACAATTCTCGAAGAGCTTACTTAGTTTTCTTGGCTCTGATTAACTGCAGTAGAGGGTTGAAAAATAGTATCGTGTAATTTTGACCTAATTTAGGCATAAAGCACAGGAGTGAGTGCATATTGACAGTCACCAGAGCGTTAGAACTTGCCTGAACTTTATTGAGACAGGTAAAGAATGGATGCCACAATGATCCATATAGTTGAATGCTTTAGAATGCAATACCTTTCTGCTGTTATGTTACTGTAGTTAGCATTATCTCTGCACGACTGACATGATACAATAAATTGGGATAGGCAGCTGCACCACGAAAAAGTTTCGCAATCAGAAAAACTGGTAAACTCTTTCTTGCCAGTGTTTCCCAGACCAAAGTTGACATCAATCTGCACTGTGGGGATTAGAATTGTAAGCGAACTCTGGTGCGCTATTTTTGTTACGTCAATACTGATCAGGTGAAACGCGCAACATTTAGCATTAAAGCATTCAAGCTTGGTTCGTTTACATGGCTAACAAGTTCTTTGTTTTCTTGAAAAGCACTTCAGGGAGTCCAAGGGCATCATCGCATAAGTAAGGCTCAGTTGCCTGTGCACTTTAGATAATTTGGATACGCTCCCTAGTATAGTAGTCAATTTGCCCATGGTGTTAGCAGTCTCTCGTGCTTAATAATATAGCTTCATGTCCGTTTCATATTTGGCACTACACCACAAAACTATATAATGACCTTTCTCTGTAGGACTCCTGAAGATAGTATGAAAGCAGAACTAAGAAGTGTGGACCACCAGGAGAGCGACACATTTATCAACAATGGTGAGTGATAGCACTTTCGTTATTATTAGGAACAGACATCTCTTTGCTGTTGCCCGAAGGACCTAATTTTTTGATAGCCGTACTTCATTGATTTGAAAAAACTGGTATATACGAGACGTGTATCTAAGCAGTCCTGCTTTGTAGTGTTTTGGTACAAGGGAATAACGGGGCTCTTTCTGCCCAAGTTTACTGCAACAATCTGCATGTAGTTAAAATAAATTCACGTTATGAGTATTGTGATTACAGTGATTCTTGATTCTGCATATTTTTCATACTTTGTTGTACATGTTCATTGTAATCTGACAAGTACTTGAGCCATTGGGAAGGCTTACTAAAATACCTGAAGCATGAAAATGGGAAAAAGCAAACAGAAGTAAGAGATCGCTGCAACTCGAATCAGGTCATGGGAATATGTATGATACGAAGCAGGCAATATTTCATGACCTTATTTAACTGTATATGTCATAATCATCATTTAGCACCAGGAGTGGGGTGTCGAGATAAAAGCCAGACAAAATCTCCAGCTACCTCTCTTTCTCTCTCTCTCCTTTGAATCACGCGCATTATTTTAGTGCGCTTTATGGGCATTTTCCAGCTCCATAGATGCCATGTTTGAAAAGACGAGAATTCTAGAATGGTCGACTTGCCATCATTCTCCTTTATGCCATCTACTTCTCTAGAAGATAGTAAATTTTGCACTTTTTTTATGGACAGTCCCTATGAATCGCTGTGGCTCAATGACCAACCTTTGCTTCCAGATTTCCTGCACACGGCCGAACATGCATACAATGTGCCACTTCCGATGCTCAGCAGGGATGCCTCTGAAGATGTGCTTCCCAGAGTTCGCAGCATGCGCAGAAAGGCAGCTGAAGCTGCGATCAACAAAATGATGTAAGGGAGCATTCGTAGTGTCATGACAGTGGAGCTGTCTTGGAAGACCTAGCCTGTTCCGGGGTAGCAGAGTGGGACCATACGCCTTACAAATAATCGATTACTTACAATCAGTTATATTTTTGTGTAATTTTGTAATACAATCGATTAATCTTGCTTAACTGTAACATTCTGCAGCATTTGTAATCTATCATTCTATCTATTACATTATATTAATAGTGTTCTGTTGCAAATGAGTTTCAACAAAAATTGCAACTCTGCGGTAGAACAATAGCTTGGTGCACCTTTCTCAACTTTTCGGTCATGAACAAGATGATGTCTTCTTGCTCACAAACAGCAACACTGATACCGGAATTCCTGCGAAATGAACTTTAATTCTAAGGTTTCAAAATACATGATATGAATGCCATGTAGTGGAACAAGTTTCCTTAACACATGTAAAATTGCATGCCAGAAATCTACAATCGCGCTAAGCATCACAAAATGTGAATTTCTATCTGTAAGTGTTTTAAACGTCTGTCAGCTATCACCAAGCGCTAAGACACGTTGAATCAATCTCTAAAAAAGGATAAACAAAAGGGGCAACTGTGCATGCTCGCGTATGCCTTACAGACGTGTAGTGGGCCCATGCTTCGTTAAACTTGCATGGTATTATTGCACAAAAAGTGTACCAAACTACCGTAGGCTGCTGTTATAGTATGTGCTCGACAACTTTTCAGGGAGATGAGTTACTATCAGGTACAGTTTATGTTGACGTTGCTTCAAGGTTGGAAAACAAAGCAATTTACAAGCAACTTCATAACATGCTAGACATTGTGCCTTTTATTGGGGTGCTAATAGATTGAATTCTATATTATCAGTATGTGTAATTGTACCATTTACAGTAATCACTAGAATTGTTTCATGATTTCTTTAAAAAAGTGTGTTTAAAGTGTTCATCACTTCGAGAATTCAATGAGTAAGCATAACTAATAGAATCAAGAATGAGAGCATTTTCAGGCACACTTTCAAAAGCGGCACTCTGTTCATTTCTTAGCAGTTACCAACCCATTAAATTATACGCACCAGTCTCAAAGTGTCGGATGGACAATTGGAATAATGAATTATTGAAGATTCCCTTTGTTCAGTAGAAACAGGTGAAGAGTCTACGTCGCATAAATGCTGAAATTCGTTCAGGAGAGCTTTGCGTTGGGAAGAACAAACTCCCGTCCTTCCACAAAGCATCTTATGTACCATATCGAATCCTATGGTCTTGGCACTCGCAGGAACTCAACCGGCTCCACACGAAAGAAAAAGGCTACAAATACCAGCAATGTTGACGGCAATGCCCACCATCGCAAGAAATCATCAGGGAACCGATGCCACGAATGCCAGAGGTGTGTCCAATCATTTACAAGGAAGCCTGATCTCGTGGCAAATATCTGTACGCATGCAAGGGATAAGCCCTATCAATGCGGTACATGTGCTAAATCATTTAAACAAAAAGCTCATCTCTGGGCACACATTTGCACTCACACACGAGAGAAGCCCTACCATTGCCACACATGCACTAAGTCATTTACACAACAGAGTAATCTCGGGGTACACCTTCGCACTCACACAGAAGAGAAGCCCTATCATTGCCACATATGCACTAAATCGTTTACACAACAGAGTAATCTCGAGGCACACCTTCGCGCTCACACATGAGAGAAGCCCTACCATTGCCATGTATGCTCTAAAACATTTGCGCTGGAGTGCCATATGGCGGTACGCCTCTGCATTCATACAGGCGAGAAGCCCTTAAAATGTTCTAGATGCACAATGTCCTTCGATCAGCCAGCAAATCTACACGTACATAAACGCCTGCATGTTGTTTCGTAACTACAATGCTTGTGTGATCACAATTTTCTAATTGCTTTTTGAGTGTGATGCATTTTGCTTTTGATATTCACACACTCCTACTTCCTGGAAAGAGGCTGTTATACCCACTTTGAAAGAGGGCAAGGACCGTTATAGGCAAGGACCAATATAGGCCTATTGCACTTACAAGCTGCTTGTGCAAACTTTTTGAAAAAATGATAAACTGCCAACTTGTACATTTCCTTGAAACAAGCGATTTGCTTGACCTGTTTCAGTGCGGGTTTTGAGAGGTTAAGTTCACCACTTACCACCTTGTTCGTATTGAGGCACAGGTCAGAGATGCTTTCATCTACAAGCAATACTTTCTTTCTGTGTTCCTCGACATCGAAAAGCCATATGATACAACATGGCGCTTTGGCGTATTAAGAGACCTGTCCCACCTTGGCGTACAATAATCGAAAGTTACTTGTCAAACCGGACATTCCGCGTTCGAGTAGGCAGCGTCCTTTCTCAAACATTTGTCCAAGAAGCAGGCGTGCCGCAAAGTAGTGTACTTAGTTGCACACTTTTTATTATCTCTCGCAATGTGTTTTATTGCACATATGTCGATGACGTCCAGCTTGGTTTCAAATCTTGTAATCTGGCCTTATGTGAGCGGCAGCTTCAGCTTAGTTTGAACAAGGTATCCAATTGGGCAAAAGAAAATGGGTTTCAACTGAATGCACAGAAAAGCAAGGGTGTCTTGTTTTTCAGAACGAGGGGCATTCATTAAGAACCTGATATTCAACTGCATGGGCGACGTCTTTCTGTTAATACTGAACACAAATTCTTAGGCCTAATCTTGGACGCCAAGCTAATCTTCATACCACACATCAAGTATCTAAAAGACAAGTGCATAAAAACCATGAAGGTTCTAAAAGTGTTGTCATGCACTACGTGGGTAAGGGACAAGAAGTGTCTGATCAATTTGTATACAAGCCTCATACGTAGGGGTGTGCGAATATTCGGCGAATATTGCATTTGTAATATTCGTATTCAATACGATAACCAGTTATTAGAAAGTTTCGAATATTCGAACTAACTCGAATATTCCTCGAGTATTCGATGTTCGCAAATATTCGTTCGTGGGCTTGTGCAATCACTCAAGTGCTTCAAATAATCAAACGAATATTAGGGTATTTGAACTCACTTCGGTTCAAATTTAAATTATTAAGAACTTCAAAGAATTTGCAAGGAACGAATAAGAGCATATTATTCCGAATGTATTGATTCTAAAGGTGGTTTCACTACAGTAGAAAGTGCTGAACCGTGAATGCATCTATTCAGGAGAAATCCGCTCTGTCGCAAAGCCCCCCTTCAAATTTAAAGGGGCCCTGCAACACTTTTTGAGCATTGTCAGAAAACGCTGCCAATCGATAGTGTGGCTACAGAGGACACGCAAGCCAAATATTATAGCGCATCACGCGGCTTACGTTTCACAATATATTCCTCTTTTCTCTCGGCAATTGACTCCATAAGCTCAGAAAGCACGTGTGACGTATTTTCTTTTCCCGTGCCGTCCCTCCCCGATTAGCTTCCAGTGCTTTTGTCGAGATGAAAAGAGAGAATGCACTAGCAGCGTGCTAGAAATCTTTGCCACTCAGCCCGTATTGGACAGATTCTAAATATATTTGCGGCGGTGAATTCATGAGGCAATAAATAAGCTTCTTTAGTGAATCGACCCCATTGATACTTGAAAAAGTGTCACACGGCCCCTTTAAGTGAAAATGTTACTCCATTCAATTGATTTTATTAAGCTTAAAAGCTAGTAATGAGGCTTATATGCTCCAATAAATCTTAAAATGTTACGTATTTTAAGGGTTATGACTCACATCCTGCTGAAAGTGAAAGCCTGCTATTACTCAGTTTTTTCGACTTCTTTTGAAAGGAAAAAAAGAAGGAATTGGCATAGAGGCTGTACTTTATTTTTTAGAATGTATTGTGCAGGTCATGATAAATATGCCGATTTTTTTTTATATGTCATATATACTATTCGAATTCGATACGAAATCATTCAACCAAAATTACTATTCGCTTCGAAGCTACGATTCACGTGGTTCAGATGACTGAGGCGCCAAAGACATTTCGTGAAGGAGGAGAAGAAGAAGAGAGGAATGAAGAACACGGAATTCTTGATCGTAAAATGACTAGCACGGTCCTCGAGAAAAGCAATGGAAGCAAGCGAGATAATTATTGCTGTGTAGTTGAAAAACGCCCCAAGCACTTCTATTTTTCTTAGCGACTTGACCGGATATGAGAACAGGGGTCAAAATTGAAAATAAAACTTTAAAATTGGAGTCTTTCGAGCTAGAACTTGATGAATTGTGACCACCTAAATTATTAATTGCTTAGACTTAAGTGCACGGGTGTTACCTGTTACAAAATCAAACCAATGGCCTCATGCTCACTAGTTATCAAGGTTGGTACAAAAGCTCGTCTTCCTTTTTTTTTTTTTTATAAGATGCTACCACATAAAAAAAGATACAGAAGGTTTGTTCATCATGTGAATTGAACCCAACATCACAGCTCACAGCATCACAAGCTCACCTATTACTGTTATGCTTTCTGGCAAGTACAGATGGTGACATTTTTTTTTTTAATTTTTATGTGCAGAAACTGACTAAATAACAATTTTACTGTTCCCAACCTAAATATATGATTGAGTAAAAGATTACTGGTGAAAAAAAAATTGCACCTCTTCATTATTCAATATTCGATTCATATTCGAAGCTATGTATTCGTATTGGAAATGTTTGATATTCGCACGCACCTACTCATACGTACTCGCCTAGACTATGGGGCAATCACAAATCAGTCTGTGACACCTACTACTCTTAAAATGCTTGACCCTGTACATCATCTAGGCATCCGTCTCTCTGCGGGTGCTTTTTGCACTAGCCCCATGGAAAGCCTGTACGTGGAATAGAACGAATGTTCGCTTCACCTGCAGAGATGTTACATGTCTTTTAAATATTATCTTAAAGTGAACGCAGAAAAAAAACATGCTTCATATTCCACAATAATGTCATGTCGAACCTTGCTGTGTTTGAGAAACAACCTTCTATGAAACAGCCCCACTCCCTTTGTGTGAGAGGTCTAGCGAAGAAAACCGGATTGCCACTCGAACACCGTTTCATGGCTCCCGCTGTATGCCTGCCCCCGTGACAGTGGCAGGCGATAGATTGTGATGTGTCTTTCTTAGAAGTTACGAAGTATGCACCAATTGCACATACTCAGACATACTGCATAGAACTACAGCATACACATTTCCAGAGTTCTTTACAGATGCTTCGAAGACCAACACTTCTGTTTCATACGCCCATCCTTTTCGGAAGCTGGCGTCCTGCACTCTGATACAAGAATTTTCACCGGCGAAGCTTATGCAATACTTGCGGTCAGTAAACACATTAAAAAAATATAACTACAGAAGGCAATAATATATACAGATTTCCTAAGTGTAGTAAAAGCCCTGAAAACTCTTGAAAAGCACAAGAACCATGTCCTTGTCTCGCTTTATTCGCTCTTATGCACAGTCTACTCATCCAAGCAGCATGTTGTAGTCTGTTGTGTGCCAGGACACTGCGAAACACAAGGCAAGGTTCTGGTGGAGCAGCTAGCTGGATTCACCAACAAAACCGCTACCAATATATTGATACCAATTACTGCACTCGACTTGAAACCTTTTCTAAAACAAAAGCTCAGGGATTATTGGCAGAGCACATGAGACGCACACACAGGTAATAAGTTGCATGTCATCAAGCCGCAACTTGGTCAATAGCCGCCAGTATCGAAATCGCGCCACACAGAAGTAATACTTGCAAGGTTAAGAACAGGACATACACACACAAAACACATTCATTTCTTTTTTCTGGTGGTGATCCACCTTTGTGTGACAGATTTGGAGAAGAACTCACTGTACTTCACATTTTAATCCAGTGTAAACAAGTAGACACGCTGAGAAGGCAACACTTTCCATTACCCTACCGACAACAGATACCACTTCATTCTGCAGTGTTCGTCGGTAGAGAACCACATTTCACACATAAAACGTTGTTGGCTTTTTTGAGAGAAGTTTGTACATTTAATATCGTATAACCGAGCATTCCGCAGCACGACCTCTCCAGAAATGTTTCCGCTGCGGTGGCTACACTCAACAAAGCACTTGCCTCGTGACCCTTGGACGCAATGGTGTGAACTATCGAGGCACTTCTGCTAATGCCATACATGTCCACCGTGGTTTTTTTATTGTCACAAACTCGCGTCATTCATTGACACTACACAATTTTCGTGACAGGGTCATGATTTTCTTGCTTCTGCGTTTTTACCCGCCTTAGCGCGAGGAAATTCAAGGCCCTTATACAGCCACTAATCACAATTGTCCACATCTTTTGTCCCATGAACTGGCACTCTTTTGACCATCAAATGGCCCTTGTGCCACAAGTCGCCAAACATCATTATCACAATGGCATGTTACACGTTACAAGTAATTTATTACTTGCAATCAGTTATATTTTCATTTAATTTTGTAATCATCATCATCAGCCTGACTACGTCCATTGCAGGACAAAGGCCTCCCCCATGTTCCACCAGTTGACTCGGTCTTGTGCTTGCTGCTGTCAATTTATACCCCCAACGTTCTTAATCTCATCTGCCCACCTAACCTCCTGTCTCTCCCTAACCCGCTTGCCTTCTGTGGGAATCCAGTTAGTTACCCTTAATGACCAGCACTTATCCTGTCTACACGCTACGGGCCCGGCCCATGTCCATTTCTTCTTCTTGATTTCAACTATGATATCCTTAACCCCCATTTGTTCCCTAATCCACTCTGCTCTCTTCTTGTCTCTTAAGGTTGCACCTACCATTTTTCTTTCCATTGCTTGCTGCGTCGTCCAATTTTGTAATATAATTCATTAATTTTGCTAAACTAACATTCTGCAACATGTATTAGGGAATTCCTTTTATTACATGCTATTAATAGTGGTTTTTTTTTTTTTTTGCTGATGAGTTCCAGCAAATATTGTGACTCTGTGGTATACCAACAGCTTGTTTCGCCTTTCTCGACATTCGGTTATGAATAAGAAGGTGACTTTTTGCTCATAAGCAACGACACCAACACTGAAATTTCTGCAGAACAATCTTTAATGCTCACGCTTTATAATTAATTATATGAATGCCATGTAGAGGAGGAAGTCTCCTGAACACGTGTAAAATTGCATGCCAGAAGTGTACAATAGCGCCAAGCATCAAAACATGTGAATTCACGTCGGCAGGCGTTTTAAACATCTGCCCATCACAAAGCACGAAGACGCATGTTTAATAAACAGTGGCAAAAATGACGAACACAGGGGGGCAACTGTGCATGCTCGCGTATGCCTCACAGATGTGTAGTGAGCCCGTGCTTCATTAAACTTGCATGGTATTATTGTGCGGAAAGGGTCCAAAGCTACCGTAGGCTTCTCTCATCGTATGTGCTCGGCAAGCTGTCACTGAGATGAGTTACATTAAGTCACAGTTTATGTATATGTCACTTCAAAGTCGGAAAACAAAGCACTTTACAAGCCACTTCATAACATGCTCGATTATGTGCCTTCTATTGGGGTGCTAATACCGTATTTACTCGCATAATCCTCGCACTTTTTTTGCTGTAAAACCGATGAAAAGTTGGGGGGTGCGAGAATTACGCGGAGAAAACTTTCTACGAAAATGTACAGAGCGAAAAAGAAAACTAAGTGGACGCAAATCGGGATTCTCACACCAACAACTAACAGCAAGCTTTAAGAAGTTCTAATAAAAACTTACCTCAACAATAAAAGCAGAGGTTCAACACAAGATTTAATTGAGACACAAAAAGTGGGAGCAAATAGTCGAGAATTAGAATACCACACGCAAAGCTTGCGGACGTTGCGGGCGTAGCGGTAGCGTTCGTCGCTCAACAGGAGCCCTCAAAAGGTAAGCGTGGGGTGCCAGTGTTGGGCTGATGGCTATTTAACAGAATTGTCTGCAGTTTCCTTCTTGAGAAATAAAGTTTATCATCAATCCCAAGGGCCTACCGGCGGCCCTGTTGCCGTTCTTTAGTGCATTATCTATCACTTGCAACTTGAAAGCAGCCGTACAGCTTCAGTATCGCTACACCGGGGTATCGCCTTATAATTTGACAAGGTTACAGACGCAACATACAAAACACGCCGCAACGCGCACTGGCCACTTTGGCTTGGCTTGAGTTGGATTGAATCTCTGTGCAATAGTACGCTTGACGCTTAAGAGATGGCGCCAGATGACGTGCGCTATCATCATCAGTGGCTGGAAAGAGCAGACGACAATATTGCAGCAGTTTTCAGGGGTGCGATAATTACTCGAGGAAAAAAAAAAGAAATCGTATTTTTGTTGGGCGATGTGGGGGGTGCGAGAATTGTGTGAGTGCGAGGATTACGCGAGTAAATACAGTAGTTTCATGTCTGTATTCTCGGTCTGTGTGTAATTGTAGCATTTCCAGTCATCACTAGAATCGGTTCATGTTTTCTCCACGAAAGTGAGTTCAAGGTGTTCATCACCTCGTATAAATCGTCAAGTAAGCTTTACTAATAGAAATCGGAATAAGAACGTTTTTAGGCACACTATCAAAAGCGGTACCCTGTCCATTTCTTGGCGGTTACCAACCCATGAAGTCATATGCACCAGTCTCGAAGCGTCGATGGACAATTGAAATAATGGATTATTGAAAATTTCCTGTGTTCAGTAGAAACAGGCGAGTCTTCATCCCACAAATGCTGAAATCTGTTCGAGAGATATTTCCATTGGGAAAAATGGACTTCTGTTCTTCCAGAAAACATTTTATATACCATACTGAATCCCATTGTCTCGCCACTCGCAGGTACCCAACCGGCTCTGTACGAAGGAAAAACGAAACAAAAGCCAGTGTTGTCGGCAGCAATGCTCACTACCACAAGAAACCATCAGGGAAGCGATACCACAAATGCCAGAAGTGCGACCAATCGTTTATAAAGAAGCCTGATCTCGCGGCACATCTCCGAATGCATGCAAACGATAAGCCCTATCAATGCGGTACATGTGCTAAATCATTTAAACAAAAGGCTCACCTCTGGGCACACCTTTGCACTCACACACGAGGGAAGTCCTACCGTTGCCACATATGCGCCAAGTCATTTACACAACAGGGTAATCTGTGGGCACACCTTCGCACTCACACAGGAGAGAAGCCCTACCATTGCCACTTATGCTCTAAATCATTTACACAACAGGGTAATCTTGAGGCACACCTTCGCGCTCACACAGGAGAGAAGCCCTACCATTGCCATGTATGCTCTAAATCATTTGTGCAGAAGTGTCAGATGGTGGTGCATCTCCGCACTCATACAGGGGAGAAGCCCTTCAAATGTTCTAGATGCACTATGTCCTTCGCACAGCCAGCAAATCTGCATAAACATGAATGCCTGCATGCTCACGGTAGGACGTACAAATGCAGACTGTGTGGTCAGTATTTGAGGACTTTGGCAGCTCTCAAAAAGCATCAACAAGCACACAGAAAAAATAAAACATGAATCTGCCCAAAACGCAAACCTAATCATTATTACGAGGAATGTATCCGCAGGCACCTCTGCATTCGCACAGTTCTGTATTCTTTCACTGGAGAAATCTACAGTCATTTGCGCGCAAAATGTTTTATTGTGGTACCATCAGTGAATATCTTTCATTTGTACGTGCCATCAAGGCGATTTTTTTAGAAATTTAACTGATTTGATGTCCATAGTGGGCAAACTCACTTACTTAGTCGACTCACTCAAATTCAAATCGAGCCTTCAGCTTTAGTCTGAAGGTGTCCGAGGAAGCAACATTCCGGTTCGATTGAGCTCGAGCTAGTCCAGTTGCATAAAATTTTACTGAGCCCGAGTTCAAGTGAGTGCGGTTGTGGAAATATTTTTTAAATCTGTACCCAGGTCATTCCGAGACGCAATGTATTTTGCATGTATATGAATAAATTCTTAGTATATGTTTGTATTTTTGTTTTTGTTCATCTATGCAAATTCTGCAGCCTCCTTTTGCAATATATTTGCCCCTCAAGGTACCATCTGTAAACAATTAAAACTCCTACTGGTGCCGGAAAATTTTTGTTTCTATTTTGTCTTTTTTATATATGTTTGTGTCATTGTGACGTCTTAGAGATGAGATTTATTACAACTTTAAGAATACCATACAAAGCAAAGTACCTCGCAGAGATATCGGCAAACAATTGTTTTTTGTTTTAAGATAAGTGTCAAGTTATTTCTGTCTATTCAGCATTCTTGCAAAAAACATGGCTTTTCAGTCACCTTCCCAGTCGAAAAAGTTCAAGTGGTCCAATTGCCAAAATACCAATTGGCATCTATTGGTTTTAAACCCATTGGAATTTCGCCACCAGTTGGAAACATACCTATTATGTCTAATTGGTAAACCAATTCGCATCAATTTGGTTATAACATTTTAGACAACTGGTGGCTAATTGATTGACCAGTATATAGTAAGCTGCAGTCCAATTGGTCATCCAATTGAAGCTAAATGTTGCCCAAATGGCTAACCAGTTAAAGTGAACTGGTGTGCAACTGGTAATCCAGTCAATTTTTAAATGGTCATCCAGTTCAATCTAGGTGGTGTTTAACTAGTTGACCAATTCAAATAGATGTAGTCATCTAATCGAAGCTAGCTGATGTCCAAATGGTTTGCCAGTTGAAGAGAATTTGTGTCTAACTAGATGGCCAGTTGAAGGTATGTGGTGTTAAATTGGTTAAGCAATGGAATAGATGTGGTCATTCAAATAAAGATAAATGCTGCTCTACTGGTCAGCCAGTTTAAATTGACTGGTTTCCAACTGCTTAACCGGCTAAGTGCAAATGATCATCCAATTAAAGAGAACTGGTGCTCAGCACGAAGAGCCTTTGTTAGACAACAATAGTTTGGCGAAAATGTCTCGTACAGAGCGAGCTTTGTATTACAACTACCGATGTCTGCTAATAAGGGTACTTGTAGTCAAACTGGCGCCGTTCTGTTGCAGCTTCTGGAAAGATCACTGATATATTCTTGTCGCTCAGAATTTTTTCCTTTGTTCCGCGTTGCATACACAATTTCGCAGGCAGGCTATGTGAAAGAAAAATATGGTAAGACAAAGAAAAATGAGTTATATGGCTGTAGTAAAAAGGTTAACACACTAGTCTAAAATGCTGTAAGTGTACGCACACGCACTTTCCAGCACGAGTAGTTCTATATAGTCCACACGTGAGCATTTGTCCTTGGCAGTCATGCATGCCAACATCGACAGTGTGATCTGGAGCACGTCACTCAAGTGTTCTAGATGAGTGTGGTGACCTCTGCACTAAAGGTAGAAATGTTAGTGATATAAGAAGACTTGCCGTGTACAGCAGCTCCCACGCGTCATGCTTGCTGCGCCCGTGCACCATGTCCACTGCAGTTGCGAGCAAACACTAGTTCGGAAACGAACAAAATGTGCTAATAATATAACAGTTGAAGTGCTTCAAAAGTAAAATTCTTGCCGTCATTGTTGAAAAATAGGGCTGAATGCACGGATCACGCCAACATGATTACTGCAAAGACGCTGGATATAAAACACGCCGGTCAAGCTTGTGACCTTTGTCTGCCGTGGCAAAGAAGCCTGGTCCAGTCGCAATGACAATGCTGATTGCTGATGGCACTTGCGCTGCAGTACATGCACTTGAAAAAAAAAGTGTGTGTGTGTGTGTGTGTGTGTGTGTGTGTGTGTGTGTGTGTGTGTGTGTGTGTGTGTGTGTGTGTGTGTGTGTGTATAACTATAAATTACACTATTTTTTTCGTCAATAAACATTACAAAACTTTGTAATGAGAAATTATTTTTTAATATTTATTTCGACCTTACTTCATCACTTCGAATGCAACGTTTTTGGAAGGGTTGTTAGTACTAAACCAACGCTTCTTCAGCCACTTTCTCACTATGTTCTCGTATGAATACACTGCAACGGCTGCTCGGGTCTGAAAGATGAGAAGTGGCAGGAAAAGTTTTTAGCAGATATACGTAGTATTATAATAAGGTGTTTTATGGTTTATGAAAAAACATTACAAAATTTTTGCCATCTCACTCAATGCAGACTTCACAGAACTTGCGCATGGCATACTATAGGGTTAACCAGTTGAAAAGAATGAGTGTTCAGCTGGTCAGCCAGTAGAAATTAACTGTTTTCTGCCAGGTCAACCAGTTTAACACTTACAACATGAACACTTTACAACTAGAATGTTTCCAATAAAGGGTCTACTCCTATTATAAAGTCATTTCCAATTCAGATGTGCATATTCAATTGGACCAACAAGCATTCCATTTGGGAAGCCAATTGCAATTCACTGTTTCAATGGTTTACCGATTGAGATGTGTGCAACTAATTGGACTGACAAGCATTCTAATTGGGAGACCAATTGGAAAGTGGTGGACTTATTGGAATGACCAATTAGAACTGTGTGGTCTCATTGGTCCTCCACGTTGAAGCACCACGTTGCAGTTGGTTTCCAATTCATTCCATTTAGGACCACTTTCTAGGAACTGGTATGACCAATTGGACCCAATCACTTCTTTTGACGGGGCTGTAGTGATTGCAAAATCGTTGTTGCAATAAAAATGATACTTAGACTATCTTTTTATAGATAGCGGTGAGCACAGTATTCTTTCATACATCACCTTTTTTTTGTAGGGCTTCTTTGGTGGACTTCAACACAGAAGTGAAGACTATGAAACACCAGGACAGCAACGCAAAAACCGACAATGGTAAGTGGTGGGAGCTTTTTCGTCATTATCATAACATGGGAGCGTGTATCATTTTGCTGCTCACCGAAGGAGGTCATTTGATAGCCTTGCTTCATTAGTGGGAAGAGATGTGTATATACGAGATGCGTATCTGTGCAGTCCTGCTTTGTATGGTTGTGGTACAATGCAAGACAACAGCAGGTCTCTTTCTGCCCAAATTAACTGCAATGATCCGCATGTAGTTTCAATAACTATATACATTCTGAGTATAGTGATTACAGCGATTCTTGATTCCACATAATTTCATACTTTGCTGTACGCATTCACTGTAATCTGACAAATACTTGAGTCATTGGGAAGATTACGGAAGTATTTGAAACGTGTAAATGGGAAGAAGTACACAGAAGTAAGAGAGCGCTGCAACTCGAACCAAGTCATGGGATTATGTATAAGATACTAAGCAGGCAATATTTCATGACCTCCTTTACCTGTATATGTCATAATCGTCACCCCACACCAGTGTGACATGTCAGGATAAAAAACAAACATCGCCAGCCAGTTTTTAATTTTTTTTCTCTTTCTCTCTCTCTCTCCTTTAAATCCTGCACAACATTTTGGTACGCCTTATTGACATTTTCTGGCCCCATTGATGCCATGCTTAAAAACTTCAAAATACGTGAATTCTAGAATGGTTGACTTGCCATCATTCTCTTTTATGCCAACTACTTCTCTAGAAGATGGTAAATTTTGCACTTTTTTACAGACAGTCTCCATGAATCATTGTGGCACAATGACGAACCTTTGCTTCCAGATTTCCTGCACACGGCTAAACATCCATCTGATGTGCCACTTCCGATGCTCAGCAAGGATGCCTCCGAAGATGTGGTTCCGAGAGTTTGCCGCGTGCGCAGAAAGGCAGCTGAAGCTGCGATCAACAAAATGATGTAAGGGAGCATTCGAAGTGTCATGACAGTGGAGCTGTCTTGGAAGACCTAGCCTGTTCCGGGGTAGCAGAGTGGGACATTACGCCTTACAAATAATCGATTACTTACAATCAGTTATATTTTCGTGTAATTTTGTAATACAATCCATTAATCTTGCTTAACTGTAACATTCTGCAACATTTATAATCTATCAATCTATCTATTACATTATATTAATAGTGTTCTTTTACAAATGAGTTTCAACAAAAATTGCGACTCTGCGGTAGAATAATAGCTTGGTGCACCTTTCTCAACTTTTCGGTCATGAACAAGATGATGTCTTCTTGCTCACAAACAGCAACACTGATACCGGAATTCCTGCGAAATGAACTTTAATTCTAAGGTTTCAAAATACATGATATGAATGCCATGTAGTGGAACAAGTTTCCTTAACACATGTAAAATTGCATGCCAGAAATCTACAATCGCGCTAAGCATCACAAAATGTGAATTTCTATCTGTAAGTGTTTTAAACGTCTGTCAGCTATCACCAAGCGCTAAGACACGTTGAATCAACCTCTAAAAAAGGATAAACAAAAGGGGCAACTGTGCATGCTCGCGTATGCCTTACAGACGTGTAGTGGGCCCATGCTTCGTTAAACTTGCATGGTATTATTGCACAAAAAGTGTACCAAACTACCGCAGGCTGCTGTCATAGTATGTGCTCGGCAACTTTTCAGGGAGATGAGTTACTGTCAGTTACAGTGTATGTAGATGTTGCTTCAAAGTTGGAAAACAAAGCACTTTACACGAGCCACTTTATAACATACTCGACCACGTGGCTTTTATTAGGGTGCCAATAGCTTGAATTCTATATTATCAACATGTGTAATTGTACCGTTTCTAGTAATCACTAGAATTGTTTTATGTTTTCTTCAAGAAATTGTGTTTAAAGTGTTCATCACTTCGAAAATTCAACGAGTAAGCATAACTAATAGAATCAAGAATGAGACCATCTTTAGGCGCACTATCAAAAGCGGTACTCTGTTCATTTCTTGGCGGTTACCAACCCATGAAATCATATGCACCAGTCTCGAAGTGTCAATGGACAATTGCAATAATAAATTATTGAAATTTCCCTTTGCTCAGTAGAAAGAGACGAGGAGTTTGCATCCCACAAATGCTGAAATCTGTTCGGGAAATCTTTCCATTGAAAAGAACAAACTCCCGTCCTTCCACAAAACATTTTATGTACCATATCAAATCCCGTGGTCTCGGCACTCGCAGGAACTCAACCGGCTCCACACGAAAGAAAAAAGGTTCAAATACCAGTGATGTCTGCAGCAACGCCCACCACCTCAAGAAACCATCGGAGAAGCGACGCTACAACTGCCAGATATGCGAGCAATTGTTTGCAAGAAAGCATGATCTTGCGGCACATCTCAGGATGCATGCAAGCGATAAGCCCTATAAATGCGGCACATGCACTAAATCATTTAAACGAAAGGCTCATTTCCGGGCACACACTCGCACTCACACACGAGAGAAGCCCTACCATTGCCACGTCTGCGCTAAATCATTTACGCAACGGTGCAATCTCCAGGTACACATTCGCACTCACACAGGAGAGAAGCCCTATCATTGCCATGTATGCGCTAAATCATTTACGCAACAGGGCAATCTCGGGGCACATCTTCGCACTCACACAGGAGAGAAGCCCTACCATTGCCACTTATGCTCTAAATCATTTGCCCAGAAGTGTCAGATGGTTGTGCATCTCCGCACCCATACAGGTGAGAGGCCCTTCAAATGCCCCAAGTGCACTTTGTCTTTCGCACAGCCAGCAAATTTACACGTACATGAACGCCTGCATGTTGTTTCGTAACTACAATGCTTGTGTAATCACAATTTTTTAATTACTTTTTGAGTGTGATGCATTTTGCTTTTAAATGTTTCCAGAAAATCTAGTCAATAAAAAGTTTTTTTAAATATTATTTCACATGTTTGTCATAAAAGCTAGATAGCTCACGTGGTATGCGAAAATATAGTGCAGTTCGCACCTGGCGATAATCTGTTCGAAAATTTCCTTCAAAATCCATTTCAGTGTTATGTGTATTTTTAGCCAGTTAAAATGTGTGCTGATGCCCGTATGAAAGTTCGTATTTCGAAACTCCAGGGAAGACATACTTTATTAAATGCCACAAACTGCTTTGAAGCAAGGTTCTTCTGATCCCAAATTGAAGTTTTGCTGCTCCAAAAACTGCTCCTAATTTAGACTCTGCCGTCTCACCCCTGATAAATGCAAGCTGTCTGGTCATTCATCGAGGATATTGGCAGCTCTCCATAAGCATCAACAGGCACACAGAAACAATAAAGCGTGCATCTGCCAAAAACGTTGACCAAATCATTATTACGAGTAATGTATCTGTAAACACCTCTGCATTCGCACGATTCCGTATTTCTTCACTGAAAAAATGTGCGGTCATTTGCGCGCAAAGAGTTTCATTGCGCTACCATCGAGGAACATATCTCATTTGGACGTGCTATCAAGTCGATGTTTTTAGAAATTTAGCATACGTCTAAAGTCGGCAAACTCGCTTGTTTGGTCGACTCACTCAGACTCAAATCGAGCTTTCAGCTTTAGTCTGAGGGAGCCCGGTAGGCAACTTTTCGGTTAGATTGAGCCCGAGTTGATCGAGTTGTGTAAAATTTTACTTAGCGTGAGTCTGAGTGAGTGCAGTTGTGGAAATCTTTTGTGAGTTTGTGCCCGGGTTAGTCCTAAACGCAATTTATATCTTTACATTTATACATTTATATCTTTACATTCTTAGTATATTTTTGTTTTTTGTTCAATTATGCAGCCTTCTTCCGCAATGTAATATTTACCCCTCAAGGTACCACTGGTAAACAAACTCCTACGGATTCCACAAACTTCATGTTTTTATTTTGTCTTCCTTATGTATGTTTGTGTCATCGTGATTTAATAAAGGTAAGATTCATTTGACTGTAACCTCTGTATTCAGAAACACTGTTTCACTTGAAATGGATTAGCCGGTGGCTTCAATGCAGCACAAACGTGGTTCGAATGCACTGTCTTTAGGTGGTGCCAAGGCAGCACAAATGCACAGACGCATTTTAAACTCGCTGTAATGAAGGTGATTGCAAGTCCAAATTCAAGTCAAGGGGCGTTTCAAAATCGGGGGTAAGAATACTGGACAAACAAAAGTACCTCGAATATATATCAGCAAACAATAGTTTTTTAAAGACGATAGTCTTTTTTGAGGACCTTCCACGCAAAAACTTTGCTCTGTCTGTCTGTACATTTGTCTGTTTGTCCATCGTTGCCACGAACCGGGTACTCTAAACAGCACCAGCCGATACCCCGAACGGCTAACCCCAACCGCAGCGCCCACCAATGTTGCTCAAGGATCAGCATTCATACGTGTGAGATTGTCAATTAAAAAGCAATTATTGCGCATATCTGAGGCACCATAACAATACATATATATTATGCATGTTCGTCTTTTACTAGAAAAGGCATACATAAGTAATTCTAAGGACCGTAGCGCTTATCATGCTGCGTTGACCATACAATGCTTGCACGAAGAAGCGAGTGTTTCCAACGCTTGCTAAGACGACACGGTGGTGGCACCTACCCGTCGCCTTGCGTTCTACACTTTATCATCTCTGAGACAGGCACGCACATCCGTCATAGGGCCACGCACTTTGTTTTCCAAAAAAAAAAAAAAAAATTGCCAGACCGCACTCATGTCTCACGTGTGACGTGACTTAATGCGCTCGTCAGTGCACGCTCGAGGCACTCTAACGCAGCGCCTCCGGATTACCATTCATCGATTTTCTTGCGCAGAACATCAAATAAATGCTTTGTTCACTCTCTTCACACGCAAGACTATCGTCTTTCGACGACATTTGCAGATTACATGCAGATACAGGGCCAATATTTTTTTTTTAAGGAAACGTATTAGGTTATTTCTGTCTCTATTCAGCAGTCTTGACGAAAAACATGACTTTTCAGTCCCTAACTAGGCTTCTATAACTTTCAATATGCAGAGTTAGTAGCATTTTTACAGCTGAGCTGTTGTGAACGAGGTGAGCCATGTGTCTTTGATCAATATTTACCTGTACCCGCTCTCATCCTCCGAGAGCTTGTACACCAATTAGTCTGGCATCAGTTGCGATAACTCTGGTGTGCGAGAGAGCCAGTAAAGAGAGGAAGAGAAATTGCTGGCGAAAAAATTTCTTGGCAAGGCGAGATTTAAACCAATGAACCTATGATCTGAAGGTGAGTATAAAAAATGGCCTCGTATCTGCATGTGTTATTGTGAATGTCGTCGAATGATGATAGTATTTTGTCTAGAGAAAGAGAATAAAACATTTATTTGATGTTCTGCGCCAGAAAATCGGTGAATGGGATTCTGGAGGTGCTGCATCAGAGTGCCTTATGCACACAGTGGGTAGGTGCCACTAGAGTAACTGTGTATGCTACCTTTAGGTAGCTCCTGTAGGGAGCATAAACAGTTACTCTAGGTGCCACCACTGCATCGTCTTAGCAAAGCGCAGAAAACGCCGGCCTTTTTGTGCATATCATTGCATTGTAAGCACTATGTTCCTAAGATAGAATTACTTATGTATGACTTGTTTAGTGTAAAGAAACGCCACAGTATATTGACGTGTTGATGTTGTGCCTCAGATATGCGCAACAATTGCTTTCTAATCGATAATATGCACAAGTATGAACGCAGAAACCAGAGCAATATTGGTAGGCACTGTAGATGTCGTTAGATTCTGGAATCAAAGGCAAAGAAACAAGCTGTTTCGAGTGACAAACAGACAGACCAAAATTTTTGCGTCAAAGTGTCCCAAGAAAAACTATCATCTTCAATAACCACTCTGCTATTCAGGTACGCTAGCAGAGAAGAGCATAGCCTAGTAGAGGGGTGGGCAAGGACATAGCAGAGCATAGTCAAGGGGTTGGGCAAAGGTAATCAGGACAGATATGTGAGAGAGGAGGATAAAAAAAGGGAAGGGCAAGAACTGAGAGTAAGAGACAGAACGAAGTCAACACGGAAAGATGAGAATGCAAAAAAAAAGACAACAAAAAATGTCTCCACTTTGCTGAAGGGAATCGTAAGGAAATACAAATGCATTGCGTAGGGTCCATAACGGCATTTCGCACACGAGCACCCAATGTTAGGAGAATCATTTTCTTTTTGTTTTCTTACACCAGCGATAAATAGCGCCGTTCGCCACACGTGGCGTTTTCCTGTCACGAGAAACGTAGTATGCATTTCCAGCTCTAGTTTTAGCTAATGTGCAAGGTTCAAAAATACTTATGTGAAGAAAACAAACAGCATTCTCGGCTTGGTTTTGGCGTTTCACAGTCGCGTCTCGAGCACACAATTCTAGATGTGAAAGTGGGGTGCAGGGTGGAGAGAGAGCGGATGACGAGAGGAGTGGCGAAGCACTGCACCTTAACTCTCCTACACTTTCTCGCACCACATACTGCAGTTGCTAGAGGCGCGAATAAGTGCGCGCCCGCAGCTGCTGCTATGGGAGAGGTATTGAAAGCGGCGCTGCAGACGTCGCGAATGCTTGATATAGCCCGACTAAGAAATGCATTCGCATATAGAAGTGAAAGAGGGCGTTGTAACTTCGTTCTCTGAAGTGTAACATTACAGCGTGGTCGTACTTTGTTTATATAATCTTCCCCATAGCCAGCCTCGCTTCTCACTAGACTGTGAACCATGTCACAAGGAAAGACAAAGTGAATTAAAGCACCCTTCTTCTATTCATGAACGCGGTGCTGTGAAACTTCGGCTAGACGAGCTCGTTTAGCAGCACGACTTAGGCACTTCGCGCGACCACGCGGGTGAAAAGCCTGCGTCACGCTAACAAACCTCTGATTTTGTGCACTACCAAAGGCATATGGTGTATACAGGGTGCCCCAGCTATCTTTAGCCACGGTTTAAAAATATGCCGACACACGCAATTAAAACGCGACCAAATGCATGTTGCTGACAGTTGTCTGGAAGTAATTAGACTATTTTCTGTGTTCTGATCAATAGACCCTTTTGACTAACTAACATCTAAAGAAACGAATATGGCTGTGAGGTTAAAAATTTCAATGAGAAAATTTTAGATCACTGTGCAAAATGTCTGAATAAACACTTCAAACTTTATATATGGGTAATTAATAGTGTTTTCCTGCGAACTACTAATGCCCGCAAAATACATGAACATACCACGTGAGAAACCCAATCGCACACCTACGTGTGCCATTATTCTGGTGCTCCGTAACGTTCCGCGTACGAACGACACTTCCTTCGAACTGGCTATTGACAGTGGCAAGCAGTCAGTCACAGCGGTCTTTGCCCTTGTGGTTAATAGCGAATCGTGTTCATCGCAAAGCCATCTCTATCATTGCAGCCCTAACGAGGCAACACAATCGGGCAAATGCTATACGGTAATTCGTACGCGGAACGTTGGGGAGCACTAGAATCACCGAGCGCACTAGCGCGTGGGTGGTCTTGTGGCGTGGTTTGTTTAACATTTCGCAGGCTTTTGCATCAGTAGAAAAACACCAGAAACCTAGATATACAGCTCTAAACTGTCTAATTGGGCGCTTTGCAAACCAATGGAACAACTTTATCATAGGAATGTCCGGCAAATTTTTGTTGCTTAAAAGTTTGTAAAGTTGACCTAATTAGGCAATTTATTAGAACTCGGAGAATATAGTCTGACTCATTCCAGGCAACAGTCAGCAACATGCATTTGATTGCGTCGTCATTTCGTGTGTCGGCTTTTTTTAAAACTGTGGCTAAAGATAGCTGGGGCACCCTGTGTAAAACTAAGTAGCTCGCAGTAAGTATACTATAGGGTGTGTTAAGTGATGGCTGAACGGCTTATTGCATCGCACCGTGGACCGGGATCACCGGTTCAAACAGCAATAAGCAACGGCACGCCACGCGCGTTG